AACTTTCTAGGGAGATTTTCAAAACAATAATATTATTACATAGTTATGTGTGTCATCGATTCCTGATGACCACTCTTAGATACATTATTTTGTACCAGAGGAAAATCAATTGTTTTGTATGGGGGTATGCTGTGTAATAATTAGTATAAATTATGATTGGCAAAACCAGTTTTCCCTCGAAAAACACAGTAATGCGATAATATGGGTATCCCATCTATCTCGTTAAAAATGACCCGGTTAGTATAGTGATCTCAACTAGTTACATTGTATCATCTTATTCTCTTAACCTGTGCTAATAGGGCACAACAGCACACAGATTTCGATTCAGACCACCGGTGACAAAATTAGTTCAGACACTTCGTCCTAAAAGAGGCTTTCTGACATTTAACTGACTTCTCCTCCCCCATCCCCTCCATCAAATGTTGTGCCGCTGTTCGAGCTACCTATAGAAAAGAACAAACACCCCAGATTCAATGAAGGGGAGGTAGTGTTCTCCATAAATTTTAGCTCAGCAGGTAAGGGACCATTCACAGCCATTAAGGCAAAAAATACGCACCACAGAGGTGCACGCTTCTGGGGACAGGCGGCTAGTGGAGTGCAGAAAATGGCCCTGCTCTTGCTGGGAAATTTAGGAGCTAAGTTCTCTGAAATGTCACTCCCTCATTTTAAGACCTCCTTTACACAAATTGGCTGTTGTTACCTTTACACAACAAATTAAAACGATTGACTCCAATAATGTCTTCAATGTTCTCTTTCCAAAATGTGTGGCCCATAAAAAGAAAAGCTGTGTATACTTAAGTACTTCTCCATACATTCATTCTTTTTCTTGTGGCATGCGAGAATCGGGTCAGATCACAATTTTCTTTTTTAAAAGTACTTCAATCTTTAATTTTAGTAAACTTTCTGGTCATTGCAGGTGGTAAGAAACGTTGCTTTAGGTGGTAAATTTTACCAGTTACCGCCTGATAAGGAGGACGCTGGGAGGGGGAGGGGTGTGGATTCTTTTGTTCTCTGCAGTTACCTCATTTGAGTACAATGTCTCAACAATTTTGTTGCCGATTGTATGCTAGATTTTCTGTTTTCCTAGAAACTAAATTTCTAACACAGAATTGAATTGAAAGTGTTGAAATAGTAATAATTTGTTTGATGGAAAAGACTTCTTTGAAATAAATGCATAGTTGTATTTTTAATTATTAATCATACCAAAAGGTTTTTCACCAAAGACACTATAAAATATTATTTTAGATTTTTTTGGAAACTGGAAGTTGTTTCCTTTGACGCATGCACACTTCAGTTAATGAGAATGCGGACCACGCGGGATAAAAGGAGAGGACTAATGTGATCACTCCTTTTTGCTAGCCAGAAAACTGTATCTATAGTGGACATAAGAATGAATGATGGTAAGGTCATTTCTATTGTTCTCATACATGTAGTAACGCATGACCTTCAGTGCCAAAGGGACTGGGTGCGATACCTGCTATCTCCCATTTTTTTTCTCTCTGTTTTATAAAGCCTTGTTATGACAAGGAGGAATTTGATACTGATTGTTCAGAAAACAACTTAAGCAGCTGTATTTTTTTATGTCTAAAGTATAACAAGGGAGATAATAATTTTTTAAAATGGCCTACGGAAAGCAAACAAAATTCCATTGTTCAGAAGTGACATTAAAATAGTCATAGAGATATAATTAGCTTAACACCTTAAAATGCTGCATGGCACAAATTATTGTATTCTGTTAATATTGCCAATAATTAGTTACGAAAAAACCTAAAGCCAACTTAACTACCGATTTCTCATATTATTTAAACTACTGATTCTTTTCATGCTTGCGCGTCATTTTTTTAAGCCGTCTCTTATTACATGCAACAAAAGACGCAATTCTGCATTGCAAAATTTTGGTAGTGATTAAGTTATTGACGGTCTGGCAAGAACGAAATCAATGTTTTCTAGTAAAGCTGACGGGTATCTTCACGACGTGAAGTTTTTCACAGCCCGCAGAAGCTTTACACAGCGTGAAAAATTATATTCACGTCATGGTTTATTTCACTATAGATTGACTTATTCTCACGCCGTGTTCATGCCGATTCAGAGGAATTTCATGTAGATTCCAATCATGTTACTGCATTTCACAGTTGTTAGCGTGAATTAAGCCTCACCGTGAAAATTCATGAGCCCAGTTTTCCCGTGGAGGGTCACATGTAAGGTGTTTCTGTTTGTGAGGTCTTTCAAACATCATATTACAGGATAACTATTAATTTCTGTTTGGACTTAGGATAATAATTCTTGAATTGGTTTGGCCAAATTAACTATTTCTTTGCTATTTCAATCCATTTGTAACTGCTTTATGTGTTGATTGTGTTTTTAATACTAGTTAAACTCATCACCAATAGATGAGCTTGGGCGTTGGTGCCTACAAAGTTGGTGGAGCCGGGCAATGCTCTAGCATGAGGAGGAGGTATCCATGGCAACTCTGCGAGCGGCCCCCACCAGGCACCGTCACACTGAACAATTCAGTGGAATACTTACCGACCCAATACTTACCAAGCCCACACCAAGAGGGAGGGAGGGATGGGAAAAACCAAACAGCAAGCTATTGCAACAACACTTTGCGAAGAACTGAAAGCAACCCACTGCATATATAAGTCACGAGGTGCCCCTGCTAGAGGCATCGGGCCACCCCTACTATAGCTGGGGTAACAGCTGACCAGCATTGCTTCGAGGTTAACTTTGCCTAAATTACATTTAGCCACATTAATAGTAATTTCTTTATGGCAAGAAATACAATACTCACAGAAGCCGTATCTGTCAATGAAAGTTTTAAATTTGCCTGTGGCTGCTGAACCAACCTTACGTGCTACATGTGTAAGTGATAAAAAGGGCACACACCAATTAGTCGCTACACAACATGACTGCCTTGAAGAACGAATTTATTTTGCAAGCACGTGGTTTTTGTACAGAGTATTCATTGTAAAGGATGATAGTGCCTTAAATTTTCGATTGACCTTGCTCTCCAATATGATGAAGTTACGGGGAAAATACTAGTCTGTTTGTCAAGCCGGTGGCTACAGTTTAACCTTACTAAACTAAAGCTCAATGTATACTAATAACGGTTTGTGGCTTGCTTTTCCTCAACATGTAAATCACCCTTGTTATCATTGTAGCCTTTCTTTCATTCTGTTAAAAATGTTTATAATACTATACCTGTATCATCCTTTATACAAGGGCTGACCATACATGTACATGTAGAGTTGTAAAGTGATGACGTCATAAACATTAAATTAGTGAAATTATGGAATTTGTCAGGATATTCCGAAAGAACAACATCCTACTTCCCAAAAACTATTATTTGGGGGCAAATTGTCTCTGAGATATCAGCCCAGTTATGCTCCGATGACTCCATACAAATCCTTCTAAATTTGACTCGGTTCCTAATGTAATGAGCTGAGTCACAGAAACTGTCTGAGTCACAGCAGGGACCAGAAAAATGTAATGTCATCATTAGTGCAAAGCACTATTGATTTAGAAAAAGATCAACATCTTTTCTAAAGTGATGTGTTGAAAGGAGCAATAGACTACATTGCAAAATAAAGTTGTCTCCGATCACATTCGCCCTCTAAAGCAACCACTGAACGAAAAATCAGCTAGTCCACACATGTAAAAGTGGCGAACACATGAAAAAAAAATTCAAAAAAGACTTGAATCAAGAATTTGGACGCATATATGGGCTTTATTCACTCAAAAACTTTCTAAAACAAAAGTAAAACTTCAATGAAACACATTGTATTTAAAATTACATAGTTTCCTAATTTCGGGACCCCCCAACAGACCTGACACTTGTTTGAGACTGAAATTGTTACATCGATACAACCGTATTTCACTTTTTAACTGGCTGATTAAACAGTGTAAAAAGGGGGTCAGTAGGCAACACATGACTTTGGTACCTCGGGTCAAAATGCTGTTTGTTCCAATGACTTTTTTTCTCCGGCGGATTACGCTCTGGAGGGTTAAGTTTTAACTGGGCAAATGTGAGTTTTGCTGCTTATTTCATAACGAGTGGTCGTGACACGCATACTGATTTTCTGCGGTTATTGCTGGTCGGCATGATTTGCCCTCCGATGCCAGAGCATGTTCTTTGACCTCTTATGAAACATAAAGCTCTCCATTGCGGCTAAATAAGGGTTGTAGGTTGTTTGATTTTCTCCAAAGTGCCTCTTGGATCGGAATAATTATAAGCAATTTTCCTTTTGTCCTCCGGAATATGATGGTTTCCTGCAATGTTTTGTCATGCTGGGTCCAGCTCGTTAGTGTTTTTGGCAGGATGTAAATTGTCACGGATAGTGATATACACAGTTTACAGATCCAAATTTCGAAGAATGGATTGCAGCTTAATTAAACTGAAGCTACACTATGGAGAATTGTGCTGTGACTCATTCATGATTGCTGTTTAAGCAATGATTATTTAACTCCAGCTTGTTTTTCTAAAGATAATGTGAGTCTTTGAGACTGGAGCGCGTAGTTCCTCCCCTGCTCCCTTGGTAATAACTTTTGAATTAGCTCGCCCAGTTTGGACCCCCTAAACAGAGGAAAATAGAGAAAGCAATTAGACGGATAACAGTTCTATACACTGATTTTATTTTCGAAATTTTAACATTTTTGTTTAAGGAACTACATAAAACTGCCTTGAACAGGGAACAGGTTTATCATATAACGTGATAACGAGCAGATTACAACTAGTTTTGCGTTAAAAACTTCCAAGTGTTAGAGCATGGTGCCGGGCTATAAAATGTCAGCACATTTCGTCACACTATTCTTTTATGTCAGAAAGAAATTCATAGATATAAATGTCGGCTCACTCCATGACATCAGGGTGAGTTTCCATGTACTGGCAAAGGTCGCACACAGTCTGGTCGTCATAATTATACCGAACGCAACCTCTTTCACTTACATGTATACCTGATGATACGCTCTGGTATTTCTTCCCGCACTCTGAAACTCTTCAGTTATTTTTCCTCGCCATACTTGTCGATCAAGAAATCTACAGCACTTTGGGAAGACCTTGTAGAAACCACCGGCTCTAAAGAGTGATAATGGTATTCTGCTTCGTGACCAAGTAGAGCCATACTTCCTATATCTTGGCTTTTCTTTGAGCTATCGGGGCTGATAATTCGAAGAGCATTTTGGCCTAAACTGGATACGAGAGCCACTTCCACAGACAACATGTTTACTAGACCCCAGAGGACAATCCAATCTCCCCAGGTCCCTGGTGTGGACATCTTCTTCAGATAGGTGTCCCAGGCACGATGAGAGACAAACTCTTTTAGATGATCCCCATCTGGTGTGGTGGGATGTGCTCGCAAATATTCCACTACTGCCTTGCGTAGCTGTGCTGCTGTTTGCTCAGGCATGTTAAGGCGTTTAAGTTGGTCACTCATGGCGTGGAATAGACAATTCCCATCTCCTGGTGTTGGGGGCTGACGATACGTAAGTCCAGCGGTAGAAACCTCATGATCGAGTTTCGACTTTTCAGATTCGCAGCTTTGAATGATTTTATAACAAGTATTTGATGTTAATGATTTGAGATGACAGCTACAAGTATTTGATGTTAATGATTTGAGATGACAGCTACAGCAGCTAGAGGAAGTACCGAAACTAATTGGAAAGCACGTGTTGTAATGTGAGCCTGTAACTGACGTCATCACTGTCGTCATGACATCATCAGGAAGACATAACCTGATTGCAAGATTTGACTTATTTTGCTTTAACACAATTTTATTAAGAAGATTTTCTCGCAAAAATTCAAAAAAAAATTCGAAGAAATAGCAGACATAAGTGAACTGCATCTTTTGAACAATTATTGTCTAGTGTTAAACCAAAAAAAAAAAAAAAAAAAAAAAATTTACTGCAAAATAAAGTGGAAAACGTAAAACATAGTAAAAAAAGACGGTAAATTGTTGTCAGTTTTTGAGCTCCCGATATTCCGGGGATCATTTCGGTGGTGACCGCCGGTATCATTTCGGTGGTGGGGATCATTTCAGTGGTGATTGGGGATCATTTCGGTGGCGGGGATCATTTCGATGGTGGGGATCATTTCGGTGGCGGTACAAGGCCCTAATCTCTCTCGTTTTCCCAGTCCTTAAGAGCAATTTTTTTCTGATTGAGATCAATCCACAGGGTCCAGAGGAGTTTCACTTGAATAAATAAATTACTTATTTAACGTCTCACCTTGTGTATATCCTTGTCACCTAGCTCGATTAATAATAATAATAATAATAATAGTAATAATAATAATTAAAAATTTATAACGCGCCAAAAATTAAACACAAACAGCAGTGATAAACATTGTCAGCTTTCGCATTTTTACAAACTTGACGTTTCGTATGTTATTCAACATACATTTTCAAAAGTGACGCGCCATTTCTATGTAAATGTGATAGAAAAAAACGCGAGACAACTGATGCTTTAAATGTTAAAAGAACGCATGTTAGTAACGCATGTTAACTAAAGTGCAATCTTTAAGGAGCAGGAGGAGGAGAAATAGCGGAAGTACCAACAGAGGGTGCTGGACGTTGAAATGGGATCTTTCACTCCCCTAGTTTTTGGAACCAACGGTGGGATGGGAGCCGACTTCAACTGCTTTCTCAAACGCCTAGCCGAGAAGCTCTCAGAAAAGAATGTGGAACATTATCACATTACTATTACTTGGATTATAACATTGCTTTCTTTTGAGATTTTAAGGTCCGTGCACACATGCGTAAGAGGCTCTTATAGGACACCCTTGCACAAAATTCCACAACGGGATTTCATTGATGACTGCCGCTTAAACGCCACCCAAGCTTGTGTGATAATGGCTTGAGCTCGTTAATTTAGTTTAGTTGAAATGAACCGTTTTTTGATTGAAATTACACATCAAAAGCTAGTCTAAGGATTCCTTTTAAGTAAAGATTTAAAACGTTCAAATTTGCCCTTAAGACGGATCATGGTGAAGGGGGAGATTGTTCCCTAAGTTAGGGGCCGCAGATGAAAAAACACGATCCGCTAAAGTCCTTTTCAGTTTTAAACTATGACATTTTAAGACCGCTAGCTGATTAGTCAAGGCAATCAGGTAACCAGACGCATGACCGAAGAAGAAGTATTTTAAAATCAATACAAAAATTGGCAGGAAACCAATGTAACGAACATGATGTATGGCCTCCATCGGTCGGTCTCGACCATGGATGATGCGCCCTCAGTTGGATGCCGTGGTACTATCACGGCCGGCACAGCGTCGGCTGTAACTAGACAGTCCGATTCGGGAAAGGCAAACTTTTCTGCATCTGACACAGGTGTGGATGGTTGCAGGGTCTGCCTCAGTTGTGCGTACCTTTCGTCTGGCTCACTTTTCCTCGGCCAGGGCTCAGATCTGCTCCTCTCCTGCCCTGAGCTGTCTCTAAAGCGTAGAGCGCCAACTGCTGCGGTCAGCTGCCATGTCTTCCCAGCTCTGTGTGCTCAGCAGCGTGTACATGTTGGGGAGACTGGCGCGTTTAAGGACCTGGGCATTAGGCAACTCTTTCGCTCCATATAATTCCGAGGATGAGGTGTAGGCTGCGCATGTGGAGGCTGTTCAGCTTCCGCTCTTGCTTGGCATATATTGTCCATGCCTCACTGCCGTACAGGAGTGTACTGATGATGCACGCTTCGTTCACTGCTATATTGGTTGCCACAGTCAGTTTGGGATTCTCCCAAAAACGAGTTGTCAGTGGGCCCAACATTGTTGTGGCCTTCCCGCTACGCTGGTTGATTTCGGCATCCAGGGCAAGTTGTCACCCAGGTTGTCGCTGATGGTGGAACCAAGGTAAGATGGACAACATCCAGTTCATAGCTGTCGATGGTAATAAGAGGTGAGATGTCCAAGTCTTGGCCCAGAACGTTGGTCTTTTTCAGGCTGATGGTGAGCCCGAAGTCTTTGCAAGCTTGGGAGAACCTATCCATGAGACACTGAAGTTGTTGTTCGGTGATGGAAGTGACTGCACCGTCATCAGCGAAGAGCATGTCTCTGATGAGGGTAACGCGCACCTTTGTCTTTGCTCTCAGTCTTTCAAGGTTGAACAATTGTCCATCTGATCTGGTGTGTAAGTACACTCCTTCGGTTGAGGTCCCGAAGACGTGCTTCAGCAGCGGAGAAAGAAGACGCCGAAGAGGGTGGACGCAAGGACACAGCCAGTTATTTCACACCACTATTGATGTCGAATGGCTCAGACACACTGCCCTCATACTGGATGGTTGCCTTCATATCATCGTGGAAGGACCTGCCTGATCATGCTGTGTAGTCTTGGGAACATAGTACTGGTGTTATGTTGCTTCAGCGAGATTACATATAAGCTGAGCAGCTGCATTCTGCAGGTTTTGTTTGCAGTTTTAGTAGATGAACAGAGGGTAAACCAAATGGAAGGCTGTTGCAGTCATGTAAACGACCTATGATAATAGCATGTCGACCAAAGTGCGTGTAAATTCTTGAGACAGATACTTTCGGATACGCTGAATATTGTGTAAATGGAAAAATGTGTTGTGGATCTGTTCCCGGAGATTCAAATAAGAATCAAACCATAGCCCTAAATTTCTTGCGACAGTGACATCAACAACGTCAATGCTCCCTACGGTAAGGCTATCAATATTTACTTTGGAAAGTTGCTGTTTCATCCTCATCAACGTGAACTCAGTTTTGCCGTCATCACGTTTAAGCTTATCGGTAAGCATCCACCAGGATCCACGTACGGATGTCCAATATAGAGGGTTCCATGGCAACCACTGCGTCTGTCTGATTATTATCCGAGTCAGGAGTAAACGACAGGTAAAGCTGAGTGTTATCAAGATAGGCATGTGCGTCATGTAGATGGTATTTGATGATTTCAAAGAGATTGCTGGAGTAAATAATAAATAACAATGGCTCCAAACATAATACTTGTGGAACGCCATAAGGAAGCCTAAAACTGTCACATGTGCAGCCATTTAACGAGACTCTTTGCAACCTGTCATAAGGATCAGACGTAAACCAATTGAGGACGGTGCCATTAATGCCGATACTTGACTTAAGACGAGAAACCAAAAGAGGAGATGGAAGTTAATTCACAATTTTTAATTATAAGGCCAAATTATTATTGAATCGTGTTCGACCTGTAGGGCAAGTAAATTAGTTTAACTATATCCTGCCCTCTCCATTTATTCTTGTAACCTGATATTTATTCTACAAATAGCATCTCCATCTTCAAATCTTGTGATACAATATAAATAGCTTGTAAAATAAATAAGTGGAGGAAAAAAATAAACATATAAACATAAACATAAACAATTTCTGATGTGCCCTGAGGCGGGGTTTGAATCACTTCAGGGTCTATGAAATTTTCATTGACATTTGCCTGTGGTATCAAGGCAAATAATTAATCTTTCTCATTTTATTTTCTATGTGCTTCATGAATCCAAACCATAAAGGTTATGTCGAAATTTTGTTTGATACTTAGTTTAACATAATCCCCCAGAATATTTTGACCAAGAAACAAAGCCGTTTTAAGCAGGCGTAGCCATTTTCTGAGAACTATCCCTAAAATTAGGTCCATCGGAAAGAATCATTACAATTCGAAAGCTACCCTGGCTGTTGTTTCTGATGCAAATTTTGGTTAAAGTTAATCTTTCGACTTCTATCCTGTCCTTTTTGTTGCTTTTCCCTCGCTCTTCCTCACCCCCGCCCTTTCCGTTATGTGGGTATTTCCGTTGCTTCATTTCGGCCTTTTACTAAACGTTTTGTGAACGTGCAGAGAATCTAACCGTTAAAAGATTCACAAGTGAAACAAGGGGCGAAGCTTAACACTGGGGTTACACACCGGCGCTGGCGACTAAAGCTTGCATCTGCTAGTTAGTAACAACTGTGGAAGGCCAAGAGAAGTGTGCACGGAATGATGTGAAGAAGGAAGAAAGGCTATTACTGCCGCCTTTTTGTCGTTTGCTTATTTGCGTTACCTATGCTGTTCTCCTGTGACTCTCGAACAATCATATTTAAAAAAGAAAGAGATGCCTTGGAAGAGTCATATTAATACTCATACGCTGACTAAATTTCCCCTTTGGGTCTTGGGTCTTCTGGGGTGTACACACTTTGTACAGGAAAACAGTTGTTCGATCCCAGCTTGAACATACCTCTGGCTTAACTGTAAACGGAACGTATGAGTTGTCACAGTAACAAACCTTAGACTGGCGTTAGTCGTCTATCGAACAACTCATCCTCAGTGTTTTGTAACCGAGAAAATATTACACTGGATGCTTTGGCTTAACCACAAGAAGTCAACAAAGACTGGTTATAAATGCTTTAATTTAATGGGAATTTCAGACACGGTATTATGGGGACAAAAGATTACGTAAATAATTCAATACTTTGAACAAGTTGAATAGACTTAAATACAGTGTGATTTTAATCATGTTGTTGCGCATACACATTTCGAAGTATAAACGAGTTCTGTACCACCGGGACTTCGGACTAGTGAATAGTTAGGCCGACATCTTCCTTCGGCAGGCTTGCATCCAAGATTTGTGGTCTTTCGGCAAGTGAGGACTTTTACAACAATGAGCCGGTCAATCAAGACTAGTCGTGCTGATTTTAGACAAGGATTGAAGCTGTCGTCTGGCCGAAATCTAAGGCTCTTTTCCCTGACGTCTGGGATTTTCTGCTTGTGAACCAACTTGAATGGATTTCCCAGAGTCTGCACGGTGGCTGCTTGATGGTTATCAGCTTTAATTACACTTATGTCACCTGAGTTTGGGCCCGCGTGCGTAGAGTAAAGGAAAAAGGTAATGAGGAATGAAAACAAAAAGCTGATTTTCTGTATAAAAAACAAAAGAAAGAAAAAAATTTGGGCATAAGCATTTGATGAAATATTCCATGAGTCTTGTATAATAATATTTAGACAGCTTATTTTTACAATAACTCAAAAAATGGCGGAGTATAATAATGTTTCGCACGGGCAGATTGTGCCCCGGCAGTGAATCAGTGTTATATAGTTTAAAGACCATCTATCAAAATGGTAAGCCTTCCACATACAGAAAACAATGATTCGCTGTAGGGTTATTATCTTCCAGAGACTGAAAGGGTGAAAGTTATAATGCGAGGAATAGGTTTCCAGTTGTACCCGTATCGGCCAGTAGAAAGTTGTCCTAAATAGACATACCTTCATGATAGTGTTAATGTGCAATTATGAGAAAACAAATCTTTTCCTTTACAAAAAGGAAAATGGACGCCTTGGAGTGACTTGGGAACGGCTTCGGGACCTTGACAAGCTCTTGAAGGCTGGGGAAGATCAGGATCTATTTAGGGCAAACGATTTTTTTCAAGCCAGTGACTGCTCGTACTTGGGGATTGGCTGATGAAGTGTTGAGTAACCAAAGACAACGAGAATAGAAGTGAAGAAAATCGTACCAAAAGACCTGTATTTAAGAATGAACTACTGATGCAATAAACATTACGCCATATCCTAAGGACCCAGATTAAAGACCGTAACAATCCATCTCTGAAGCTTGATTGGATGAATCTGAAGCGCATTATAAAACATTAAAGTGACTTTAAAAAATTCACAGGTGATTGATAGTGTCTGACAGGTTGTCCTTAAGCTAATGTAAGCTATTTAGCTATGATCTTAAAAAGACAGTACGTGTTAAAAAGATTTCGTAAACGTAGAAAATCAATAGCAGTGGTCTGGTCTGCTTAAAATTACAACCGTATCATTGGTAAAACCTGCCGTAACAGGTATAAAAAAAGATGGTCTAAGACTTGATTAAAAACGTCTTGCAGACGCGTTTGGACAGGAGAGCATACCAAAGATATTCTACCAGGGGGTGGGGGACATTAACAGTAGTGACTTTCCGCGCTTAATGTAGCCATAACCTACTGAGGATCAAAACTTCGGGAAAGATAGTCGACAGGTTTCGAAACGGTCGACATCAGTTTTAATTCAGGCAAGGAATATAACCAATTTCGTTGGGCAGTGCAGTTGTATTCAAGTTTGAATGAGTCACGTTACTGTCCGGTTTTGTATTTGAGAAAGGTCACTAAAACCATTGATTTTGGACCATTCATGCCCTGGAGAAAGAGGTTGGGACTTTGTCTTGTTTAATTTTTTTGAAAAGGTGGGGGAGATTCCATGACATTAGTTCCTTTAACGAAGCGATCTGACGCCTAAATATAATATATAGATTTAGCCAGGGCTAAAAGCGAGGCTCCCATTAATAAATTTATAATTTAAATCAAACAACCACCTTCTTTTCCACGATTCAGTTAACTTTAGAGCACATTCATGTGACTTTTCAGGGAAAGGCTAAGTGATTTTAGACAAAAATAATTTGCAAACAACCCCAGAGTGAACCAAATCTTACATCGAGTTGATGGCCTCATATGTACACCCAAAAACTGGCAATCGTCTTCGATCACATTTTTTAAGAGCCATAATGGCTCTTAATCACCGTAGGTTAATTAGGCCTGGAAAAACGTTCCGGCCGAATTTTTTACGTTTGACAAGTTTACTTTACAAAATATTGCCAACAAATCTGGGTTCGTGTAAACCAACCTTATATATCATTTATACATCACATCTGAGGTGAAACAGTACTGTGAGGCACTGTTTTCATCATACAGACCTCGGACAACAGAATGCAGTATTTGTACAGGTAATCACATGATTTCGAGTGCAATTTGGAATAAATAAGCACAAGTAAATTTTTTCAAAGGCTAACAAAATTGCACGAGCCCGTAGGGCGAGTGCAATTAGTGGTCTTTGAAAAAATTTACGAGTGCTTATTTATTCCAAATTGCACGAGAAAAATCATGTGATTACTTATTAATAATATTCATGAAAAAAATTGCGAGATAGCTTTAAAATCACGTAAACCAGGTGCAAAAATAATTTATTCAAGTGCTGCAAATATCATCACACGTGCAGTCAAAACAACATTTTTCTCGACGTTTTTAAAGTTTACAAGCCGCAGAAACGGGCTAAACAGTTCATGGAATCGTTCAATCTGTATCGGAGTCACTTTCGATGAAAAGCAATCGCCATTTGCAAGGGCGAATGGTAGGCGAAGTCTTGTTGTTGAGGTTGAATGTTACATTGCAGTTGGTGAAGGAATTCATTACATTCTGCGCTTGTGAACTCTTCTTATGAGGAATTACTGCACTTGAAGTAGGACCAGGTGTATTACCCGCTGGCTTCGGTGTGCTGTTCTTTCGTGAGATGGCCCACGAAAGCTGTCGCTGTTCGTCTTCGTCTGCTTCATCATAGTCATCTAAAGATTGGATATTTCTGTGACCAGTGACTTTTGCAATTGCCGACCTTTCGAGATTCGCCTTTTTCATTTTGCTGACTACTGTTTTACGGGCACTGTGATTGGAAAATCGCTTCTCAGATGTCTCAAGGCTGGTTCCGGAGATGATGCTCTTCATCATGGAGTTGATTTTATTTTCTCCCATGGGCTGTACCTTGTACCAAATTTCGTCGTCGGCTCGTCTTGTTGTAGTAGTAGGGCTTCAGCAAACTTAACCCCCGTTGGTGGATTCCCTTTGGATTCCCTCGCAGAAAGTGGATTCCCTTAATTAATAGGCATATGGGTCTAGTCAATGACGTCACCCATTGTTATAACCTAGGGAAAAAATGGGTTCCTCCATACTAATTAAGTGTCTTCCTCCATATATAATGAAGTGGATAGGTTTACTAATGAGCGTCACTCTACTACAATAGGAACAATAGGCTTGCCTAGACTTGCCCGGGCTCTTTTAACCCTGATTGGATAGTAAACAATCTATTATGTGTTCAACATAAAAGCGCGCTCTCCGTTCAGCATTTTATTCTTGCAATCGCTTTGTTAAGGAGAACATTTGTCCGAGTTCGCTCGTTTTGAGAAAACCTTTTTTCACTTTTTGAACATCATGACTTTCATTACCAACGTTCGCGAATTTCAAGCTCTCTTGGATGGTTGTTCCTCGACCCACGATTGGGAATTATTGCTGGAATCTATTTTGATACGCGATGAGTGGACCCCAATGGCGTATGCTCGGCTGTCGGAACTCACAGCCCAAGAGATACCGGTAAGTATTCTATTTCGTCTCTGAGTTCTTTCCTGATGACGGTTTGCGTTTAATTTGTACGTTGAAATAACGAGTATTCATTAATCTTTACTTAACGTTCTCTCCCACAGACTGAAATCAATCAGGACACGGGTAGTGATGAAGTCAACGATCTACTGAGCGATTCGGTAAGTTTTCCGATATGTTATGTCACGAAGTGTAAAAAAGTTCACGCATCATTTATGTCCGTTATGTTAATAGACTCGACTTGGGTTAGATTTGCATTTGATCTATTAAACTAAATCGCGTATCTTTTGTTATCCTCGTTAAAGAAACAAAAGGACTCCAAACTAGATTTGCTTCAAATTTTTGTAGACAGTTGTCGTATAATACTCATCGAATATGTTTCCTTGCTTTACAGTTTACAACTGAAGAAATGCAGGCCGTAAATGCGATGGAACGTATGGCGCTAGACAAGGTAACTCCATTTCCTTTTTAATACGCAACGTACATGAATTGTTTAGTGATGAAACAACATTACGAATCTCCTTATTCGTTCAATGCCCACCTATTTCTTTAAAATGAGCGAGATTTCAAAACCTAAAGTAATCTGATTTCTTCTCTTCTTATCTAGAATAACAACGAGTCGGCACCGTTATCAGCGCAAGATACACGGGATAATATTTTTGATGAGGTAAGCATTCATGATCATAAAATTATTTTCTTTCACGGAATTAAGTTTGCACTATTAATTGTTCAATCACTCATGTGTATATTTCTGTTGTTCATTTTCAGTGGACTGGCGAAACCAGTGAATTACCCACTTGGAACCCGTCGGAAACCGTAAGTCATCTTTCATGTTCACTTGTTTAGGATACCCCATGTAGAAGTGCAAACGTTCCCATTAAAGTTTTTGAAATGTATACCTTTTAAAAACTAAATTGTTTAGGTTTACCAAAAAAAAAAAACAAAAAACAAAAAACAAAAAAAAAAACACTATCATTCACTCCATCGTTTATAAGAGTCGGAAGAATATAAAAGTTACAGTTGGCTTACTATTTATGACTTTGAAGGCGTAAATAGTTTATTCTTGATCGATTCCCCTTTCCACTGATCACATAAGTGAATTCGTTTTTTGCGGATGATTGGACCCATATTGAAATCTATTCTATTCTTTTGATGAAAGCATTTGCTCAGTGTACTAATATTCTTCAAATCATCAAGCCGAGTTGAAGAAAATAGACAGCGTATTATATATACTCAAACAGGTATCAGAGCAATTTAAGCTATTTCCACTAAGCAGTTGATTATAGCAATATAGCAGAGTTATAATAGTACCCATGCGCAGCGCTTATCTCTGATAGTCAATTATGTCGTGGATCGACACATAAAATTAAATTTATTCTGTTGATTCAACATCAAAAATAAACCATCTACCCAGTTGTTGAGACGCTCATTGTAGACAAATAGAGTTTATCGGAGTTTCTTGTTAGTTGAGCTTTACACTAAGACTAGGTCATATTTACTAATTATAGGAAATTCAATCCGGGGATGGTGAACCCACAGCCAAAAAGCCTCGTAAAGAATATCGTTGTGACACTTGTGGCAAGACCTTTTCTCGTTCAGGAAATCTTAAAACCCATGTACGAACCCATACTGGTGAGAAACCGTACGAATGCAACCGCTGTGATAAGAAGTTTGCTGACAAGTCGGCTCTCAATCGTCACCTGAAAGCGCACGACAAACAAGCTGCCGAACGTACGTTTACTTGTGCAACCTGTGGCGAAACCTTTCACAACCGCGCCCCTTACAACGCTCATATTCGCATAGCTCATCAACAACCCGCCGCTGCAACTAGAAAACGACCCGCCGCTAAAAACACAGACGCACCTGCTGCCAAAAAACGCAAGAAGTTCGCTGATCCTGGTACTTCATCAACTACACCGCAAATCACATCGCCCGGGTCCAGCTGGCAAGAAGATCCTGTTCTCATTCCTTCGAACCTTATTCCTGCCGCGGAGGAAAATATCACCGACACGTACCGTCAACACTGGCCCCAGATCCGTACCCGATTTAGTCGCCGTAACCGTTTACAAGACTGGTACAATTTCCGCCTGTCTTCGATCAGTCCTGCTTCCCTCCGCGAACAACTGAACCGCATCTTTGCTGATCAGCCTACAGTTTTCAAAATCAACTTTTCTTTTGGTTTTATTCTCCGTAATACAGAGACTGGGGCCCTCCAGTATCATCATCCATCCGCGAACAACCATTTGGTGCTAGAACAACCGTTCCTGATTTCAAGTCCAGACGATTTAGAGCGCCTATATCAGCAGATAGCGGAGATCGATTACTTGGAGTGGGTGCGACAGCAGAGACCAAATTCAAAATGGGTCGTGGATCTCGTGACGAATGTTACCTGGTTTGTTTGGAAGATTCGAGACCACCCGATTGGCCGTGGCAAATATCTACCAGGTTATATCGTGGACAACCTGGGAATCACCCCACTCGATCGAAACATTCAAAGAGGTAAGCCTTATGAAGATAATCTGTGTTTTTTTCGCTGTCTGGCCCTCCACAACGGTTGCTACACGAAGAATTTAGAGAGGGACACGCAGTACTATTACCAACAGTATCGAGACGCCGGGTTAGGAAAAAAGAAGTTCCATGGGGTCAAGCTGTCCGAACTAGACGAGTTGGAGAAATTGTATGAAGTGAATATTCAAGTATACAGTCTCGCGCCTACTCAGAGCCACAGTAAAGACGAAGACAATGAAGAAAATACTCCCGAGATTGCCGCCACCCTGCTTCGCCGCTCTCACCGCCACTACTCCAGCACGCTTTACTTGAACTTGTACGAAAACCATTTCTCGTATATTAAAGATCTCGCCCGGTACAGTAAATCCTTCTGCTGTTCAAGATGTGGCAAGTACTGGAAACGCGCAAGTAATTTAAGGCAACATGAGAAAACCTGTGACGGCAAAGTCCAGCTGAAGTACCCTGGCGGAGCTTACCATGTCCCTAAAACTATCTTTGAAGAATTAGAAGACGAAGGTATTGTCGTTCCTGAAGAATGGCGGTACTTCCCTTACAGAGCCACCTTCGATTTTGAATGTTACTTTGACAAGAAGAAAGCTCAAGAATTAAAGAACACTGAAAAGTTAACCTGGCAATCCGCCCATGTTCCCCTCAGTGTGAGTGTATGCAGTAACGTGCCTGGTTACCAAGCACCGAAATGTTTTGTGTCTAACGGCGACCCAAACGTGTTTATTACAGAATTTATGCAGTACCTCACCAAGATAAGCCTGAAAAGTTCTTCTATTCTCAGTGAACAGTTTGCACCTGTGTTTGAAGCACTGAAGCAAGTACCTAACCGCGATGACTCAACAGAAGACCAATTAGCGCAAATACTTGTTGATATCCAGGAGGGTAGTCAGCAAGCTGAAAGTGAAGAAGGGGAAGATAATGATGAAGAATTAAGTGACTACGAAAGAGATATCGATTTGATGGCAAGTGATGACGATGACGACGAGGAAGAAATCGAACCGGAGAATGAGGAAGATCGCGCGTTTCTCAATGATGAGGTAACAGAAAACGACCCTTCCTTTTACAGAAGACTGAACGTTGAGTTGGATACTGAGAGGAGACAAGAGAGGAGACAACAGCGAGATGAGCTAGCCCAGTACGAAGATGTGTTGTTTGGTCAAGAGCAGATTAGCGACAACAAAGTCTTAACAAAGCTAGCTGAAAAACTGAACGCATACTTACAAGAACTGCCCGTGCTAGGCTTCAACTCTGGCAAGTACGATGTCAACGCTGTGAAAGAATTTGTATTTCCCTACCTTATTGAGTCTCAACCCATCAAGTTCACTGTCAAAAGAAACAGCAACCATATGTGTCTCAAGACAAACTCCTTAAAATTTCTGGACATTTCGAACTATGTCGCGCCGGGTTTCAGCTATGACCAGTTTCTAAGAGCGTATGAATGCGAGCAAACCAAAGGTTTCTTCCCTTACGAGTGGATCGACAGCCTGGACAAGCTCGAAGAAACATCGCTGCCCCCGCATGAAGCTTTCTACTCAAGTCTGAAGAACCAAAACATTACAGAAGAAGAATATGAGTACTGCCAGCAAGTATGGGAAGAAAATGAAATGTCCACCTTTCAAGAGTTCTTAATCTGGTACAATAATTTGGATGTCGTTCCTTTCCTCGAGGCTGTAGAGAAAATGAGTCAGTTCTGGCAGGAGAGAAAGATCGATATGTTTAAAGATGGCATTTCTGTCCCTGGTTTAACCCTCAAGTACCTCTTCTCTTATCTTTCACCTCAAACTTACTTCAGTCTCTTCGATCAAGCGAACAGTGATCTCTACCATCTGATCAAAGACAACAACACGGGCGGCCCAAGTATTATTTTCCACCGATATCATGAAGCCGGCAAAACAAAGATCAGAGAAGCAGAGGAAGGCGAGGCTGCTAAGCTGTGCGAGAAGATCGTGGGGTATGACGCGAACGCTTTGTACCTCTGGGCGCTCATGCAAGATATGCCCACGGGAAGTTATACGAGACGCCTGTCGGACAATGAGTTCAAACCGAAAAGTTCTGTACGCATGGCTATTGAATGGTTGGAATGGGTGGCGCACAAAGAGGGAATTCACATCCGACATCAGTTAAACAATACAGAAAAGCGCATCGGTGGTCGTAAACTGCCTGTGGACGGTTTCAACGCGCAGACGCAAACTGCGTACCAGTTTCACGGCTGTTATTGGCACGGCCATGACTGTGCTCTCAACCGAGGGAAAGAGTTTAACGAGAAACGCAAGAAACCTATGGCTGAGATCAGAGAAGAAACGAGAGCCAACACGGAGTATATCCGCAGCAAAGGGTACAACGTGGTGGAAATGTATGAATGTCAGTGGAGAGAAATGAAGAGAACCAACCGAGAACTACGGCGTTTTATTGCCACCGAAGTGAGAAGAACCCTGGATCAAGTCAAGATCATGAGTCCCGAACGAATATTGAGCGAGGTGCGACATGAGCGTTTGTTCGGGTGCGTGGAAGTAGATATTCGTGTACCAGATCACTTAAAGGAAAAGTTTAGTGAAATGTGCCCGATCTTCAAGAACACAGAAATCAGCCGCGATGATATTGGAGACTTTATGAAAGCGTACGCCGAGGAGCACAACATTATGGCTCAACCCCGTCGCAGTTTGATTGGGAGCATGAAAGGAGAAAAAATCTTGTTGGCCACACCCCTCCTCAAATGGTACCTGGAACATGGTTTAGAGGTCATGAAAGTGCACCAAGTGATCGAGTTCACCCCTCAACCCTGCTTCAAACCGTTTGGGGATGCGGTGTCAGACGCGAGGAGAGCCGGAGATGCGGACCCCAGTAAAGCCATCATTGCAGATACCATGAAATTGGTAAGTTTTTTGTTTCATTCTTTCATTCATAAAGGGATGGGAACAATATACATTTTCACGTATAGAAAAAACTTATATCTTTGTTCATCTCTCAGGTGGGTAATTCAGGTTATGGTAAGACGATCACCAACCAACTGAAACACAGAAACGTGGAGTATTGCAGTGACGCTCAGGCCAGCCGAAAAGTGAACACCCACCTTTTTCGTAAACTAGAAAACATCACTGAAGATACTTATGAAGTGCAGTCTTGCAAAAAATCCATTAAATTAAATCTACCCATTCAAGTAGGCTTTTTTGTGTACCAGTATGCCAAACTTCGCATGCTACAGTTTTATTATGATTTCTTAGACAAATATCTAAACCGCTCAGATTTCCAAATGTGTGAAATGGATACGGATTCAGCGTATATTGCTATTGCTGGAGAGAGTGTGGAAAGTTTAGTCAAACCAGAATTGAAAGCAGAGTTCGAAGCTGATAAATGTAACTGGTTTCCCCGTACCGACACTGCGGAACATAAGGCCTATGATAAGAGAAAGCCAGGTCTTTTTAAAGTTGAGTGGGAGGGACAAGGAATCGTGGGTTTATGTTCCAAAACCTACTACTGTTTTGGGGCCAAAGATAAGTTTAGTTGTAAGGGTGTCAATAAGAAATGCAATGACATTAACAAAGATAAATACCTTAATGTCTTACTTACAAAACAGAATAGTGCTGGGGTGAATCGAGGGTTCAGAGTTGTAAATAATACTATGTACACTTATGAGCAAGTTAGGGATGCCTTTTCGTATTTTTACCCGAAACGTAAAGTTTTGGCTGATGGAGTTAGCACCACTCCACTCGAAATTTAAGTTTTCAAGTTTGTAAAAAATGGATTTTGTAAATAATTTTCATTTTCTCAAGTTTGCGTATATATTACTCTCAAAATAGTTTTCCGAAATATTTATATAAGATCGCCTCTAGTTGTAAATACTATTTTTGCCTAGCTTTTCACGGATGTTTGTACATAGGAAATTAGTTTGTAAATAAATCATTGGTTGAATTTAATCGTGGCTTGTTTCCTGACTCGACGCGCACGACTTACACGCGAGATCTCCACGCGCGCCCAGGGGAAAAAAACACAGGGCTAAAAAGATGCCCTTTCTGCCCTTTCTGCCCGAACTGCCCTTGAAAATCAACAATAAATTTCGTGTCGCAAATAGTTTTACTCAGTTGGTATCTAACATTCGCCCTGTCAGCATGAAGAAACTAAAATGTAAACACTGCCCCATACCGGGATGTCATTCTAAATTCTTAGTTCGATTAGCAAATCATTTAACTCAAGTCCACGAGTTATCGGAAATAGAACGAAAATATTGGCTTCAATTTGCAAAATTACAAAATACCAATGTGATTCGTGTGTATGACAAGGAGGCTGAACCCAAAACAATTTTTTTCTATAAATGAGAGTACGCACAAATCAGTTAATCAGTTGTGATCATGGACCCGAGATGGAAACATCCTTTCCCCGGGCTTGTGGCCGGCCCAACATGTTGTGGGAAAAGTCAGTTTGTAAAACGTTTACTAGAAGCAAGAGAAGACATGATTGATGGTGCCCCGGCAAATATCATCTGGTGTTATAGCATGTATCAACCAGCCTACGATGAGATGCTTCAAACTATTCCGAACATTATGTTTGTTGAAGGAGTGCCTGGTGATCTGGAAACCCTAATTAATCCCTCTATGCGGAATTTAGTCGTCATTGATGACTTAATGCACGAGGTTAGCAATGATCAGCGAATGACTAATTTGTTTACCAAGGGCTGTCACCATCGCAATCTCAGCGTGATCTTTATTCTCCAAAACATTTTTCATCGTGGAAAAGAACTGAGAGATATGAGTTTGAATTCTCATTACTTAGTAGTGTTCAAAAGCCCGCGTGATAGCAGTCAAGTCAATCATTTAGCAAGACAAATGTTTCCCGGTCATGTCAAATACATGCAAGAAGCGTTTGAGGATGCAACAAAAAGGCCCTATGGATATCTATTTTGTGATCTTAAACCGGAAACACCTACCGACTTCCGGCTGCGTACGAATATTTTCCCCGGGGAGACTCAGTACGCTTACGTCAGAAAAGTATAAAAAGCGTGAACCACATCAAATTTCTTCAGTTGAGGATGGCACAGCGACTTAGAAAGAACCACGATTTTCTGAAACTGCTTGTCAAGTGTACACCAGCTCAGCGTAAAGCCATTTTGAAGGTGGCAGACGACCCTTTAGTAAGAACCATTTGTGAGTGTGTTTTAAACGTGCTTAAAGGAACAGTGCCTGTCAGTAAGCCAGCCAAGAAAAAACTTTTACCTCACAAGAAATCTTTGATCGCCTTAGCCGAAAAACGCACACCACTCGATAAGAAAAAGAAATTGTTGGTACAACACGGAGGAAATTTTTTAAGTGTTTTGCTACCTCCCGTTCTCCGTGCGTTAAGTTCGATTCTTACCTAAAATGAATCACACAAAGCGTATGGTTCTCGTGCCCGAGAACACCTTGGAAAGATTACAGCAGCGCCAGCAGATTTTAACCCCACCCGTCACACAAACTCTGAGAAACTTGGATAGTGAAATGACCGATATTTTATCCAGTAAAGAACTTGATGATGAACAAAAAGCTAGGCTTTACAATCAAGTGTTGCAGCGGTACTTGACTTATTACGATCAGCGAAAAGGTCAACCTCTTCATGTGAAAATATCAACCCCCAAAGCAGTAGAAACACCTAAACCAGAAGAAAATGAACAACCTTCGGAAGAACCTGTCCCGGAAAAATTCACTTCATCAGCCGTAGAGGCAGAGGTCATGAGAAGTGTACCCAAAATTTACAAAGCCGGGGCTAGACAATTGTTGGATAAAATTAAAGAGCATCAAGATGTATTGCATTGGAATGATAAAGGAGAGCTTTTGTATGAAACCAAACCCATTCCAGGTTCTCATCTGGTGGACCTAGTCAACGACACATTGCGCCACCGCAAAGGATTTGAACCAGTAGGATGGTCGGTGTTTGCGAGGGGTCTGGCCCGAATGAATGTCCCGGAAAATCTAGTGCGTAATCCACAGAGGCAAAGTGCTGTTCGAGAATTTAAAGCAAGAGTGAGAGACGAAACCCCTAACAGTCCTTCCCGTTGGCTACCTAGCCCACCTGTGACGGTATCCCCCGTGAAAAAACAGCGGCGAAGAAATGCGAGTCCACGCCCTGAGGCTGTGCGCTGGTTACGGGTATAAAATCACCACAAGAGACATTATTATTATCATTGTAAATCATCTCTTTATTTTGTTCACTCAATAAAAGATGTTGAAAAGAAATTACAAGGTGTTTATTTATTGAACTTTGTGCTGTGCTTGTGCTCTTTGCTTGTTTACATCAGTGCGATATTTCGGAAGACTTATAGGAAAATGTTTTTCAATAAATCGCTTGACAAGACTATCATTTTTACGTGTGTTATTAGAAAAACGATGCACAATTGTACTCATACTTATTTGCCGACTACGATATAAAGCAAAATACAAACAGTAATGTCCGCAGACTTTGGAATAGATGCTCTGTAATGTCACGGTATTAAAAATCCACTGGTTAGAATTGTTGTTTAAAAAGGTAGTAAATGTTCCCGAATATTTGCTGGGAGGTGCTCCGTAAGAATCGAAAAATTCTCCCTCTTGCTCCTTGGTGAAATAAAACGCCACCCAATGCGAACCTGGCTTGTCACTCGTATCCACATTGGCAATGTATAGGGCTGGATATTGCGAAACACTTGCAGGCAGCTTGTCTGAGGGATACACGCCTTGAAACACACCTCGTGTAAATTTATCCTTTCTCAAAATAAGGGTCAGTTGAATGGTGTCCATTTTAGTTTGTGTAGTCGTAGAGAACGTTTCTGTTTGCGTCGACCTCAATCACGTTTTGAAATTCAGCGTAGACGATAAGATTAACAGTGTTGGCGAGTGCTTCCGAGAAATGAAGCTCCAAGCGTAGATTTCCTTGTTTTATAAGCTCAAAATGATCTCCTGGGCAGTGATCTGGGGTCAAATCAAAAGCGAATAAGGTGTAACCAGAGCCATAATCACTTCTATTTATCTGATTGCCCGTATCCTGGGAAAGCTTTCCAGTACCAGAGAAAAGACTTTGATAGCCGGCTATCACATTTTGACCATCAGCGGCGTCAAACTTCAGGAACAAAGGTTTTCGGGGGATTTGTTCTCCGTCCACGTACACACCCACTTGAGTTAAATTGTGGTGATTGAAGTTGAAGGGGTTGGTACGGTAACTCCCATTGTAAGCCTCTGTGTCCACTAATCCCAATACTATGCGCTTGGGAATTTGACCCAAAAAGATGTTGTCAGGGTTAAAACCGCTAAATCCTCTTGGAATAGAGAGTACTTTACAGTCGATTCTGCGAATGGGGTACTTGGCGCTGGAGTGTTTTAGCCCAGCTGCATGGCCTAGAATGATAGAGGAGGCAACCTTGACTCTGCGTACAAACAAGATGGCTTCTGTGATAACCACTTTGAAATTAGCTGCGGCTGCTGAGGACACAAGACAAAACACATTCTTGGCTCGGTTCAGTTTGATTCTTAAATTCACTCCATTGAGCATCAACCGATCTTGAAAGAATATATCACTGTGAATGGGTCCCATCATATCCACCGTATGACTCTCTTTGGTAAACTCATAGCGAGCCTTTAATCCAAGGTTTGCTTCATCGTCTGCAGCCAAGGGGTTCACTACATTCATCTTTCCAGCAGTATCTTTGTAAAACATAGCCATAGAAAGTTGACTTGTTTTAGCTTCTTCTCCGTAGTTCAGCAAAGACTCGATCATGGCACGATAAGGGTAAGTATTAGTGGATGGAGAGATCAATCGCTCATTCAACGAAACGTCTACTTGTGAAAACAGGGAATGTAGAAACAGGTTCACGGGACCCACTTGTGTATCGACATCTAACGCAGTTCCGTTTGCTTTCGTGATCTTAGCTTTCACATAAAGTTGTGTTCGCGCTAAATCTAAATATTCTTCTCCGGTTCCAGATACGTTAAATTCAATAGGACCAGTGTCCGTGATGTTGCTGAGAGGATGATATTCAATCCATTGCCCTTTGTGAATAGAGGTTTGTGTAGCAGGAATAGTAAAAAGATCCAGCTCTGATTTAGTACACTCGCGAGACTCGTGATGAACGAAGGCCATTCTATTCTTTATCAAAAATGGTTTTCGATTTCTTCTGCTGTGGAGATGTTTTTGCTTTCTTTCCTGGAGGCGAACTGATTGTTGAGCCTTGCGCTTTCCTTTTTATAGCCTTTTTGCCTGCACCTGACTGTCCTTGCTGTGACTTCTGGGACGTCATGTTACCTATAGCTTGTTTAGCCTGTTTGCTGATTGCTGTTTTAATGTTATCTCCGCCAAGTACATCTTGGGCAACATTGACACCCGTTTGTAAAGCTTTTTTTCCAATCACCTTAGCACCTTGCTGCAGGTGAGGTATCGCCCAGCGGAACAGACCTTTAAATATGGATCCTAAGCCATAACCTCGCTGAAATCGAGCTCCGTGAAATGCGGGTAAATTTCCACCTTTTTGCTTGGCTTGATCTACATAGTACTGTTCGTAAAACTTATGATTTGGAGCGTGGAGTTTTTTCATTTTTAAAAGTACTGAGGTTGACTCTGACGAAAATGAAGTGTTAACAACACTCTTCCAAACTCAAATGGCACAGATTCCCCTGTGTCTCGCTTTATATTGACTTCGATGGTTTCAAATTGCTTTCTGCTGACAGGTAAATATTGAGGGCGCACAAACGATTTACTGACTCACTGACCGACCTCTCCTTCTACAGGAACAATTCGAAGCAAAGGGACCAGTGCATCACCAACATATTGTGACTGAATAAGATCACAGTAAACGAAAAGATCGTGAAAACCATACTCCAAATCCACTTGTCTGTCGCCCGTGGTGGTCTTTGAAATAGTTTGTTCGGGAGTGAACCCCAGCATATAGGCCATATCATTTAACGAGACTTCTGCGTTGTTTTTCAAATGAACCGTAACCTTTCTGCTGAGATTATCGTATGAAAACCGTACATCATCTGTATACCGATTTTCATTGTCCACTAACTCTTTCATCTTTGATAAGATATCTTCAATGGAAGAATAATGACCCGAAATCATCTCCAGGGAGTCCCAAACACCGTGGAGTTTTTCATTTCGAACGTAAAATCGAAACCGTTGAATATTATTCCAGCTATGCGGATAATGGATCTCGGTCAAAGCCACTTCCCATTCGCCTGTAAGGTTTAGGGTTTGTGGTAAACTAACTCGGTACTCTGTTAATGTGTTATGAGGAAATTTATCGAGGCTGCTATTGCTAGGGAGGTGCAGATAAAACTGTGTTACCTCCATCGTTTCGTGTGTTCAAATGAACTTTTTAATCTGGGTACTCTTAATTTATTAGAAACCACACAACAACAATTGTTTTCAGTTAAAATAACCCTTTTATTGGCTTCACACAAAATGTTACAACTTTGAGATATTACTTTCTGCTATCCAGCTATTAAACTTGTCTGGGTACCCTTTCCATTTTACAAAGTATTCAACTATTCCTTTACGCTTTCTCTTCCGCAAAATCTTTTCAATGCGGTACACATCATCATTCTTAATAATTTTCTGCAATTCAGGCTCATAAAATGTGCCATCTAAGATTTCACCTGCATCATCTTTTAGTTTATAAACGGGGACTTGACGAGCCATTCGCTTGTAAACAGTAAAAATTTCTTCGGTGAAATTAGGTAAGTACGATTTTTCAAACGTTCTCTTTACTTTGCTGATCCTCACGCGATCTCCTACTTGAAATTTATATCGCACAGGCTTTTGAACATCATCCCCATACAAAGTATCCCACACTTGAGCTTCGTTCTTTTTAGTTACCTGACTTGGTTTCATTTTAATACTTCGGTGGTAGGTGTTATTGTAAGAAGATACTAACTGGGGTAATACATTGATATAGGTGAGAGTGTTTTTGGCCGTGAAATATTTGTACATCTTATTCTTAAATGTTCGGTTAAAACGCTCAACCACTGAGGCTTTGAGCCCAGAGTTAACAGTAAAAAAGTCAATGTTGTTGTCACGCAGCAATTTCTGGAACACGCGATTTAGAAACTCTGTTCCTTGATCCGTCTGCAGTTTAGTAGGTTTGCGACCAGTAGAAAGGATCTTTTGAAAGGCTTGGACCAGTTCTTGACCTTGTTTTGTCTTCAAAGGTAACACAAAAGCGTACTTGCTGAAGATATCTATACACGTCAGTAGGTATTTATATCCCTTGTTGTATCGGCTGAGATTTTGAACGTCGACCAGATCTGCTTGAAATTGTGCATCAATACCGGGAACGATGACTCGACTTCTTTTGTAATGTCTCCGCGCGGGCTTGTGAAGAGTATAAACATCTTGCTGACTCAACCAATCTTGAACTTGTTTACGCGATATCTTGTTCTTTCCTTTCTCTTTGACTGCTCTGTAAACAGCATCTAAACCACCGAAACTTGCGGGTTGACTTGGGTCGAGATAAATGCTGGTCAGTGTTTTCTCCATCACAGAACTCGGAATTTTGTACAATAACTTGACCCCCGCAACAGGCTAATACGCAACGAATGCGGTTGAAAATGCGCTCTAATACCAGAGAGGGTGAAGATGGCCAGCAACCCATTACTAGTGATTGTTATGAAGGTTCAAAGCTGAATGATTTCTTTTTTCTTCGTGTTTACTTATATAGCTACTCTCGAATCTGGGTAAGAGTGGGCACGAGAAAATTAAATAATAGTTCCCATTCCTCCTCGGTTAGTTCTAGCTGATCCGCGAAGTTCAAAAATACCACCAATCGTCCCCAGTTTACTTTTGAAAAGACCTCAGAGTGGAGTTTTTTCAACTTTTCCAGACTCGAACCCGGCATATCTTTAAGTTTTTGTTGAAGCATTTCCATTTCACTTGAAGACACTTTCAATGTTTTGGCTTGTGCGCGATACAGGGAAAAGTCGACTCGAAGCAAAGACAGAGAAAGCCCCATCTTGACAAAGACAGAGACAAACACACACTGACTCACAATTAAGATATAAACAAATTTTATTACTTTTAGAAACAAAGCTTATTTTGAATGTCATTAATTATCAAGTCAAGGTCCATTGGTTGTTCATCTTTCCTCACAACTCTCTCAGGGCATTGCACTTCAACTTGGCTGTCAATTTCCACAGCACTGGGATCTTTGCACTTCAGTCCACAGGGTCCGTAGTAAATAGCATACAGAATTCGATCTTCTAACTCACCGTAATCTTCGAGTTCCAAGGAAGTGAGATAGATGTTAGTCCAAGGCAGCTTTGGTAATTCGGTCACGTACGCTTCCCACGTTTTGCCAAGTTTGAAACCAAGAGCACTGCACACACTTTCAGCCGTTTTTAAGATAACATTGAGGTCAACTTGTTCCACCACTTCATCATGGTAATACATCCATGCGTCATCATTATCCATAACCAGGCAAGAATGTTGGTTTTGACTTGGGTGTTGAATAGCACAACCGTGGCAGCGATTCAGCTTTTGTTCTTGGATGAGTTTGTCAACCGTAGCCGCATAAGTCAGTTGGAACACATGACCGATAAGGCTAGCTACCCGTTGACGTTGGACGTTTTCCACTTCATCTACTGTCAGAAGCGGTGTAGCGCTCGATTCGACTTGTATGTTTGGAGTAATATTGGTGATAATAAGACTTTTTCCTTAGCAAAGCGATTGCAATAGTAATATGCTGAACGGAGAGCGCGCTTTTATGTTGAGCACATAATAGATTGTTTACTATCCAATCAGGGTTAAAAGAGCCCGGGCAAGTCTAGTCAAGCCTATTGTTCCTATTGTAGTAGAGTGACGCTCATTAGTAAACCTATCCACTTCATTATATATGGAGGAAGGCACTTAATTAGTATGCAGGAAATCCAAATTAGTATGCGGGAAGGCAGTGACTAGGCACTTAATTAGTATGGAGGAAGGCACTGACTAGGCACTTAATTAATATGAAGGAACGCATTTTTTCCCTAGGTTATAACAATGGGTGACGTCATTGACTAGACCCATATGCCTATTAATTAAGGGAATCCACTTTTTGCGAGGGAATCCAAAGGGAATCCACCAAAGGGGGTTAAGTTTGCTGAAGCCCTACTACTTGTTGTACTTTATCGAGAGATAAAACGGACCACTCGTCCTCAGATTGGGAGGTCTACGGCTAATGTACTGACGAAATAAAGCAACTGGACATTTTCCTTCCCCGGTCTGAAACATTTTGGGCTGGAACTGTCTTGGCTTTGCACTCAAACCTCCAGGTCTCGTTTTCGTAGGCCCCTCTGCAAACTCAACAAATTTGATGCCGTCGTCACCGTTCATGATTCTGAAATCCTCCAGTCTCATTCCGTGGTGTTCTTGCCTTCCACGAAGACCAAAGTGTTCGGTAAGGAGCCACCACATTTTTTGAATTAAATATTCTGGGTTATTACCTCCGAGTTTTCCGCTCTTCCAGAGAATTTCTTCTTCCTCCTCTGATACTTGTCGAGCTTTGTTTGGGCGCTTACCACGGCCAGCCAAGCGAAGCTGTTTCGTTTTGCCTTCCAACACCTGTTTGGACGAACTAAGTTCTCGGTCACGTACAATGGACAAGGTGTAGCCTTTGTTCTTTAAGTGTCTGTCAAGCGATGCCACCATTACTTTGAGGCTTTCTGGTTCATAATCTTCACCTTGTTTATTTTTTACTTCGGCGTAGAAATGCTCGAGCAAAGTGTTAAGCTCAGCCGGCTCATAATTTTCTATTTCATCTGTAATTTTCTTCTCTAAGCACCACTTCTTCCAAACAGAGAGCCACAAATCGGTGCTTTTTGCAGTGTTTTCGTTTTTGGAGCAGTTTTTCATGTCCTCTATAGTTGTTGCGGTCGCAAAAGCAAATCTGCTACAAACGCCAGCCATTGCGGTTTTTGCTCGAAACTGGTCAAGAGCGGATCCAAATTTTGCGCCATTCAGATGGCGCACTTAATTGGCTCTCAGTGAGTTCCTTTGTTTATTAACCAATCAGAATGCCTTGTTTGTTACCTCTTTTCTGCACTAAATTACCTTTTTTCTGCACTGTGTTACCAAAAAACTACATTTCTCTTAGCCAATCACAATCGAGAAATTTTTTCATGTATATTATTAGACAGTTTTGCAATACAAATTGCTATCATTCAATATTCAATATTCAGGACGATCAAAGCACGCGCGGGCTTTAGCTAAACCGTTAAAAAAATTAACATTAACACATTAACATTAATTAACAATGAACATTAACAATGAACATTAACAATGAACATTAACACAGTTAAGTTCCAATATAATAAAGAATTTATTGTGTTTATTTTTTATTTTAAAATGGTTTAACGCGCAGCATTTTGAGTACTCTGGGAAGCGTTGTTCACTGAACGACTGAAAACAATCGGCACAGCGATTAAAATTACAAGAGAGACTACTAATAATCAATAAAAGAAATAAAATTCGGTGAAACATATACAGAGACGACAATTTTCATTCAGGAAGACAAGTATTAAAGTGTCTCTAAAAATCCTGAGTCTTCGAGCTTGAAGCTGAAGTTTTTGTTTTAAGCCGGCTTCCCGGTGTTTGCTTTTTTCAAAGACGAACTCGAGGCAAGAAAATCGCTCAAAGCTTCTTTTACAGCCAGAATTATAACTAAAAATTCTTTGGAACGTGTTCTTTCTATTTGCGGTGAGAAAATGTCTAAAGGCTTTTTAAAGATCTGTAAGCATATATAAACCTAATACTCGGTCAGATCATTGTCTCAAATCTTACAAACTTGCGTAAACAAAATAGCCGCATAAACTACGCTCGACTTCATTAAATTAGCAATAAAAAACAAACATCAAATACAATAATTACTCAGGCTTACCACTCGAGATGCAGCTCCTCAAAGGTATCAAGTAAGGCCAGTATCGCTTCAGACTTTGAAACCCTCTTACGCATTAAGCAAGATGAAAACGAAAACGATGCCATCCGAAATCGGATTTCCAACTTTGACAAGTGACGTATTTCTCAACCAAAAACCCAATAAACAAACTAGCCATGGATAACAGAAGACTTCCGATAGCAGCTGAATTTCATTTTGTACATCCAGTGGAAAAGGACAGTTAAACACATCACAAGTTGACACAAAACTCTGTCAGCTTCAGCTGTCAAAGTAAACAAGATTCAAGATGCTGCTTAAATTTTCCGCATGAACTCACCTGTCAAATTTTGACCAATCAGAGCATAAAAATTGGACGTAGAAGGTGACCAACGCGTGAACATGGTGAGAAAAGTCAAAAGCAACTGTCTTCCCTGCCTGTAGCAGCTGACTGAATTTTCGCGTCCGAAGTCAGTTTGAAATCAAAATTTTAATTGTGCAGCACATAAACACAACATATTTCATACGAAATTTTTTTTAAAAATTAAACTTGAGCCTGCGATCATTTGAAAACCAGTACCTTGTCAGCAGGTAACTTCAAAAAATACTTGACCTCGATGGGTCGACGCCTGAGCCCGCGATTCGCTCAAGTGATACCGGTTAGCGGATACCTTGTTTTGACAGCTGTCAATTGATCACAACATTGATGTCCAATATGTGAATCAGTTTTCCTGTGCTCCGATCCCAAACTAGGTAAAAAGTATGATTGAACATTGTTCGCGATCTAGTAAAACGATTAACTGGTCAGCGGACAGCTTCCAAATAAATCAAGTCACCTCGATGAGTTGACACATGAGCCCGCAATATGGTCATGAGATACTGGTCAGTGGCTATCCTGTTTTGACAGCTGTCAATTGACCATATTGTGAGTGTCATATATAAAAGATGAGGACTTGCCAAGACACGCCTGAGACACCCCTCCCTTCCTTTTGATAGTCTCCCCTACCCTACCCGTAAAATCTGTAGACGCGTACGTACGTACGCTCGGTCAGTCACGTGACAACCAAACGAAAGGAGGCTGACCATATTCCATGAGTATGGGGCTCTGTCGCACGCGCGCTTCGTGTGACAGGAAATTTTTCGGATTGGCGATGTTTTGTGTTTTGCGGGAACGAATTTTGGCGATCAGGACAAATTGGTTTTTCTTGCTGGAAATTAATTCTTGCGATTTTCAGAAAGTACCCAGTACCCAGCATTGATAATATTTTTAAGCGCGGATCTAGGATAAATACTGACCGATTTCCTAAACGAGGGACGGTGGAGCAAGCTTCTAGGAGAGCCTGGGGGCATGCTCCCCGGGGAAATTTTCAATCCCTAAAGTTCCCTTTCCCAGGTTTCTGATTCCCTCTTGTTAAAGGTGAATCTGAAGCACCTGTTTTTACGTTTGCCACGATCTAAAAGCCACCTTTGTGTTTCAAAGTGTAAAAACACTAAATGGTGTCAGACCTTTCAGGTCCGAACCTTTGAGGTTAAGAGGAATCTCACAGAAAATAATTGGAGGCGTTGGACACAACGACTCAGAGGGGAAGAGTTTTTAAATATTAAGCGTTTTAAGAACATTACTCATTTTCCCAGTAAGAAGTGCTCCGGTTTCGGATGAGCAACCCGGAATTTTCGGTCAATAGCTCGTAACAGCAGGGCGTTGTTAAGGTTAGCAGACACGGATTCTCCGCGTAAAACGTATATACTTTTGTATGTGGGATTCGCCGCGCCGTTTCTCTCCCAGTCAGTTATCTTCGTCTGTTCTGTATCTCCTGTTTCAATTACAGTTTTACTTATCCACACCGGCAACACATGCAGTTGCCGCTTATCCTTCCAAAAACAATCAACTAATAAAAATTTACTTTTTCATTTTAGGAAGGTTTGTTGTGTTGTTTATTTTATTGAAAACTTTGTGGAGAATAGTTTAGGCTTTTGTAATCTCTTTTCGCAGTGCGTTTGCACATTGCACACCAGTTTTCATGGGAGCTACAGAAAAAATTTTGTGGTCAAATTTCCTTGTCACCGACTTTTTTCTTATTCTTTATTTTTTCTTCCAAATTGGCAACCCTCAAAAATTATTATAGATGATTTTCTCCTTTTAGGAAGGATCTTTAAGCTGCCTAGTTATTCGAATCAATTTTTTTCTAACCTTATCAAAACATCATCAAGAGAGAGGGTTAACTTCGGGCTTCAGTATTTTTTTATTCAGGAGTAGCTATCTCGAAAACTTGGAAGAATTCTGATGTGCCCGGGGGATCTTGGTGGAATTCGAATCACTTCGGGGTCTAAGAATCTGTCATTGTTATTTGCTTGTGGTATCAAGGCAAATCATTCATCTTTCTCATTGTGTTTTCTATGTCCTTCACGAACCCAGAACATCAGGGTCATGTCAAAATCTTGATCGATACCTAGTTTAACATAATCCTCCACAATAATTTGACCAAAAACCGGAAAGAAAAACGTGTTAAACAGGCCTAGCCATTTTCTGAGCACCATCTTTAAACTGAGTAAGACCGTCGGAAAGAATGATTACAATTCGAACGCTACCCTAGCTGTTGCCAAATTTTGTCTACAGCACGTTTAAAAGTTAAACTTTCGATCTTTATCCTGTAGCTTCCTGTGCGCTTTGTTTGCTTTTCCCTCTCTCCTCTCCCCACTCCCTCTACTTCCTTTTTGCTGGGAACTTCATTTGCTTTTTTTGAGTTGTTATGGTAACAAACTTGAGACTGGCGCTAGTCGTCTGTCGAGCAACTCATCGTCAGTGTTTTGTAACCGAGCATATATTAGGTTCGCTTAATCACGAGAAGTCAACAAAGAGAGGTTATAAATACATACTTTAATGGCAATTTCAGACCCGGTAATATGGGGTCAAAAATAATTCAATACTTTGAACAAGTTGAATAGACTTACGTATAGTGTGATTTTCACTTGAATCATGGTTTTACGCATCGACATCCAGAAACATAAGCGAATAAGGAACCAGTCGAATCTGTGGTCATAGATAAGACTTTCTCATATTGGTCGTCTGTTAGTTAAACAGTGATCTTAGGCCCATTTCAAACGTCGTGCTACTGCCGTGCCTGCCGAACTCAATTGATGGAATTAAATTCGACTTCAGCACGGCAGTAGCGCGACGTTTGAAACCAAGTCGTGCTACTGCCGTGTAGCACGGCTGCCCTTGCCGTGCCACACGGCAGTAGCTCGACTTGGTTTCAAACGTCGTGCTACCTTCATGCCGAACTCAATTCATAAATTACAAACGCATCAGAATACATCTAAAAGTTTGCTCTACACTTGGGGATCGAGCCTTTGCTCATGCTGCACCTGTTTTATGGAACTCGCTGCCATTAACTAGAATAACAAGTAGGAGCCTCGCCATTTTTAAAAAGCAACTTAAAACATTTCTTTTTAAGAAAGCTTTTAATTTGTTGGAATAGTTCTAATGTTTAATTTTAATTTAGTTTGGAATTTTCGAGTTTCATCTTTTGTTTAGATTTTATCATAGCATAACATATCATTGTCATTATTATCGCTTTCAGGGATTTTAAATTTTTTATTTCTTATTTATTCATTAATTTTAACTTATGTAAAGCGCTTTTGAATATTCTTCTATAGTTTTAGCGCTATACAAATTCATTATCCTATCAATTTAAAAATAGTCATAAATTTAAAATTCAAATACAAAAGTCGTTACGAGATCAAATGATGAAAAACATTTCATTTTTCGTACGTATAACCGTATGAATGCGATAGCGCTCCAATATTTACACCAATGACTGCGTTCACTCAGAATTCTTTAATCTTCAGACCAGAACTAGTTTTCTGTTCACAGTCTCTTTGCGCCGTCCCCACGATCTGAACACCTAGCTGGAATAGGCTACATAAATCAAGGGAGAAGGTTACAATACAATACTTAACAATTATTCCTCGAGCCCTAATAGGCTCTGAGTCAATAGCCCATGAGGCCGAAGGCCGAATGGGCTATTGACTCAAGTGAAATAGACTAGAGGTAACCAGGCATAAAAAACATACAGAGGCATGGAGAGCACAGCTTATATATTCTAAGTTTCAGAAAAAAGCGAAAATTCTGAACACATATAAGTGAACTGCTGGGTTACCATAATGGGGTGATATAAACTTATTCCTTTTCTCTACTAATATGTGTTGGCATCCTCGGTAGTATAGTGGTGAGTATCCCCGCCTGTCACGCGGGAGACCGGGGTTCGATTCCCCGCCGGGGAGGAAGCTTCTTTTTGTAGTTTTAACTCTGTGAAGAAAGCTGTTTCCCTTATATTTCTAATTTTTTTTTCCCCAATGCATTTATCCTGTTTTGGAACCAACAAAATAACCTAACTTTCCTGCATTAAAAAGTCGGACCGAATCGTAAGTTCTGTTGCTACTGGAGTATGATCGACTGCCCGGTCAAGGTTTTCAAAACACTAAACGGCTGTAACACAAGTAGTACAAACATCTTAATTAAATGCCTAAACCAAGATCTGGTAGATAGGTTTATCAACCCGTTGAGACAAATCTAGAGAGATGGGTCTGTCAGTCATTTAGTGACTTGGAAACCTTGACCGGCTGCTAGTCATTTACCGGTGGACACAGAGAAAAAAAAAAGGTGCGGACTCATTGCCAAAGAAGAGCGTTTCTCGCCCGAGTTTCTTGTTAATGTCAGTCTCCTAGGTCTCCTATAGCTGATGCTGAAACAGTAGAGGCTTTCCGATGCTATTTTTCAAACGACATTTGGAAAGGCTAATCCTGTAGTCTGCAGGTCTGATTTCTGCAAGTCCGGAAGTCTACAGTCTATATGAGTAGCAGATCAGTTCATTAACAACCAGACAGACAAACTGATAAACTAAATTCTGAAGAAAAACAATTAAATAACTAAATTTTTGCTGTAAAAATGAGAGGCCACGTTCTTTGAACCTCAATTAACTTGAATTCTGGCCATTAATTTCGGATGTAATTTATTCTATCCTTTTGTGTCAAATACCTACAGTGCCCTTTGTAAACACTTGATATTGCCAAGCAACAAAGCCCTTGCACACGGACTTGCCAAATATTAGCATAAAGCACTGAGTCACTTCGGTGTTCTTTGCTTTGTTATGTATCACGCGAGAGTGGGAGGTATTGTGCTTGATGGGAAGAAAATTAAGGAAGGACGTAAACCTCCGTTATAAAGGATATCGCATGATGCCATGTGGTAAGATTTTGCGTTCGAAAATTTCGAAAATAATACCTTTATTGTTTCATTGACATGTCTGATTATTTGCTTCTTAGTGGCTGACGGGTATTTACATTTCGATTTAAATGTTTGATAGTCAAAATCCAGTCTCCGATTGAATCAGTAACGAATTACCTGAAACTGATCTTTATAAGGTCTTGTGTTATTGTAATATAAGGGTCGTATACGGCACCAGACTTTTTGCTGTGAAGATCGTTGTCAAGAACGCATAGTCGTTGAGTAAATTGGAATGGAGATAAATGCATGTCTAATCAAATAATCAAGCTAGAATGAAGCTTTTTTAGTACTTGGAACGTCAGTCGGCGCATTTCCCAAGTTGTTTCATGTTGTTCTACAGCGGTAATCGCTTTATGTAAGTAATAGTGGAACGCGGTTTACACAGTGCCTATAAACTTTCCTCAGTCGTCCGTCGGTCATTCCGTCACACTGGCACTGTACAGCAATTTATGTTTGACATCTTCCGTAATTTGGTTATTGTGTTGATGTGTATTAAAACCATTTAAATTGTTCAAGTTTGCTCCGCTTTACGTAACTGATTTCAGTAGCTCACAAAAATCTACCACAAGGTTGTTCCATTCACACGTCATTGTGACACGTACAAGCTAGTAAACGATCGAAAACCTCTGATAATTTAGCTAAGTCTCCAGAATAGATGGACTCGCACGATGAGCTAGCGATGGACAAGTATGGTTCTTTAAATGTATGAATTTATTTGCGTTTACAAACCAAAAGACTCAGAACACATACTGACAAAATAAATCTCACTCTCTTGTTATAACAGCACATTGAACGAATTGCAAAGCTGTGGCAGATCACTTATGAAACAAATAAGCTGTGATTATTTAAAGCGTTAAATATTACAGGAGTTTCTGGTCTGAAGATTAAAGAATTCTGAGTGAACGCAATCATTGGTGTAAATATTGGAGCGCTGTCGCATTCAAACTGTTATACGTACAAAATATGAAATGTTTTTCATGCGCGTGAACTGCGGCATGATTTTTGGCCAATAGATATCGTAACGACTGTTGTAATTGAATTTTAAATTTACGACAATTTTTAAATTGTACTCAAAATTACAAATACAACGTAGAGAAAATTGTTTTAGTAATAGCCATTGAAAGCGTAAAAAAAAATTATAACATTTTGCTATCTCCCCTCACTCTAACCCAGGAAAACCGGCTCACTGAATACCACTTTAGCAAAACCTAAGGATGGGCGCAGCATGTACAAAATCGCTAAAACAGATTACAGGCAGACACGGTTCAGGAACCATAACCAGGTGAGTTTAATTACTGAGCGCCAAATGTTGAAAACCTCTTTTTTTACAGTCACCGGTAAAACTAAAATGACTTGGTTTGTATTGTTAGTTTGAATTCAAAGTGTAATCATTCAAAGCTCACAAGACACTATATTTTGCTGTAGAATTTGTTTTCAGAGTTTTAGTTTCTTTACAAAATATTCGGCTTGTCATTTCCTCTTAACGAATTTTTAACTGAAGTTCCAAGACTCGATCATCGAACCCGGCTGCCCTATATACAAAAGTAATTGGTAAGATTCTCCCGCAGGGTAGAACGACTATTTGTTTTAGTCTTCGGTTTTGTTTCTCTGCCTTCTTTGCCTTAAAAATGGTTTTGAACAGTGTATGCTTTAGGTCAATGAGAACACAGCCATCCAGATAGTAAAAAGAACAAAGAAACAAAAAAAGGGACCAGCAAAAACGCAGTGGTCCACACTACTTATCTGTGTAACCGTTTCTGATTTTAAAGCAGTTATAGTGGATAGATCAATATTCAACATTCTTTTAATTTGTTAACTTCTTTACCTGACCAGGTTTAAATTCCTTCTTCTGGTTCTGAAACGTCAATTTATGAGTTCTATTAAATGGATCTCGAGTTCTATGTTGACTGCAGTACATCTAGCTGTTTAGCGCCCAGTAATAGTGTTTTCTCGCCAACAGAACAGATGACTCTGCCATCTCCAGGCCTCTTGAGCGATCCTTTTTGTCACCAGGCTCTGTTCTATTTGACGAGCATTCTGGCCGGGAATCTACACTTTCCTCGGCAGCTTCCAGAACCAGTTTAAGCCAGTTCCCAGAACTCGCCGAGAGGTACAAGAAAGTCATGTGCGGAGACCTAGAGCAGAGTTTGACTGCGAAGGCCAAGATAATTCGCGTGTTCACCAGCTCTACATTTACAGGTACGTATCGTACGTAAGAGGATTTAGACTGTCAGGAGCTGGGTTTTTCATCTGTCCCGCAAGCTCAGATAAGCTGGCAATTCCCTTACATTCTCTAAATTTTTCTCCTTAGATATGGCTGCTGAGAGAAACGCTTTGATGGAAAGAATCTACCCACGGCTGAAGACATTTGCACAAGAGAAAGGATACGAATTTCAGGTAAGCTTGTTAAACAGCCCGTTCATTTGAGCCAAATACAGTTAGCCTTGCTTTAGCAACCACCGTCACAAAGGAAGTCACACTGACGAGGCTCCATTTGTGAGATAACTCTATTATTAACCCACCTCAAACCTTTTTGAGTATTTGAGTAATTACATAACCACCGATTGCTCTGAACCCAGTTATTCCACAATGTTCACTTTTCAGGTGGTTGATATGCGCTGGGGTGTGCGAGATGAATCCACCGATGACCACTCAACATTGGAGCTCTGTTTAAAGGAACTCAAAGCCTGCCAAGAACTTTCAACTGGCCCTAATTTCATGGTAATACTCCTTGTATTATATTCTTGGTGTGAGGGATTTTGGCTTAACCGGCGGAGTCAGTTTACTAACATATGATTCTATTCAACTCTTGCAGACATTTCTTGGACAGAAGTACGGGTTTCGTCCTCTTCCTTCCAAGATCGCTTCGGCTGAATTTGAAGAAATTTTCAGTAATATAACAGACCAGGACGAAAAGACCCTGTTACGAACATGGTATAAATGTGATCTAAACGAAATACCTGCTACCTATGTATTGCAGCCTGTCAGTTCCCGTATTCCAGACTACCTCTGTCATGACGTCGGGAAACGACAACTTGCACTTGAGGAATGGCATGGAATATTTAGGCAGATTCAACATATTCTTAGGCGAGAGGCTAAAAACCTGTTTGGAGAAGACGGAGAAAAAGTGCACAAGTACTTTATGTCAGGTACTCACTATCAGTTAACTGACCTGAGATAAGTTTTCATACCTTTAGGTGATTCAAGAGTTAATCATTCACTATTACACTTCAAAGAAAACAAGCACTTCTTTGCCAGACAAGACCATACCAGAGACGGTCACCTGAAAGTTTTTACTTTTATTCAAAATATGTTGTCGTTTCTGATTGGCTCAAATCCCCCAACTTACTCTTCTTAACCAGCAGGCGCTGACCAAATTTTGAAGATGCAAGCGATATTACATATACCATCAATTCGATGGTATAATTGCGTTGAAACGAGCCTGCTTGTGCAATAGGGAACTGGAAAAAAAATGACGTTCACGGCTATAAGACGAAATAGCCGACTAAAACTGAACGGAAGAAATGCCGAAATACGCAAAACATATTGCTCCATGGATGTTATCTACTTCTTGAGGACTATCTGCTAGAAAACGCATCTGTTTATATTCTGAAACCATGCCGAAAAATAGGCCAAAGTATTGAAGAAAGTCTACGAGGAGGTAACCTTGTTAACAGCTTGGAAATATTTTGAACAAATAATAAAACACTTAATGAATTCGGCTTTCGTATGATTTCAGGAATTATGCTGACATTCTCCTCGATCTGCACAATTCTTTCCATAATACTTAGCCTCCGCAGTAATTGTTAAATGTCCTACTCTACAGGAAATACTTTTTTTTCCGATATTACCCATGGTTTGATTTCACAGCCGGTTTTGTCCTTCTGTTTTCTTTCACAGTAACTGAAAGTGAAATCCGCCATGGCGTTCTTTACGAGCCAGAGAACACCTGCTTTTGGATTAGCAGAAATATCCTGGATCTTAAGGATCATTTGCTAGATGAAAACGCCCAGGCTTTTATCGACATTAACTCCAGCACACAAGAAATCGACAGTGATGCGCAAGAACTTTTAGAGGTAAAAATAAGAACACGCTGTTTCTCTCGTATCAGCTTAGACCCGAGAAAAAGTGTGGACCGTTATTGGTTATAAATTCTCCTGTACTAATGAGGGACGACCTTGTGCAGGGAAATCAATAAACCCAGAACCCATTTTTTTTTTCATAAAAAGATATATTAAAAGTATCACAGAGGAAAAAGATTTTGTCTGTCGTTTGGTAATTGGAAGTGTTTAACAAATTGTTACATACCTTAATGTTTGTGTAGAGACTGAAGAATGATGTCGTCACGAAGGCTCTGCCAAGATCAAATATAAGAAAGTTTGAGATTCATTGGAATCCACAGGGAATTTCTTCCTCCAACAATTACGAGCATGCTCAGTATATCAACAATTTGTGCAGGGAAGTTGAATACTTGCTGAAAGAGAAGATCGCTGATTCTATAGACAAACGAGTGAAAGGTGATGTCAGTGATCAACTTTATGATGAGGTGGTTGAGCACTTGCTGTTTTGTCAAACCAAGTGTAACACGTTTTACGGACGAACGGAAATCCTTGGTCGATGCAAAGAGTATCTTCAGGTGAAAATTTATCTTTGATTTGTATAGCGGGTTTAAAGTTAATTAAAAATTTATTTGGCTTCTCTGACTGTTGTCATTGCCCAGAGAGGTACTACATGTAACCTGTTCTCCATCCGCAGGAAAACTTGTACGAGAAAGCTAAGGGTTTAAATCTCACTGGTGGAATGTGTGATCATTTAAGTTTTCATTTAAATGCTTTGAAATAAAAATAAAAAGCGCACGTAAATTATTCTCGAAGCCCAACGAAAATCACGGCATATTTTTACCAATACTAGGTCTTCTTACCAGTTCCTAAATTCAGTCTTCCATATTTATGAAGACAAAGGCATAGCTGAAACAAAAAGTGAGTTTGAGGATGTTGTGGGAACAACAAAATCAAGTCATGGAAGGGTCTTACTACCAAGTTACGAAACAGGTCGAAAAAGCTTATCCGGTTTAAACGATTTGCGAATAACGTTGACATGTTTACTTATGCAAAGAAAACGTTTTTAGGATGACAGAAGCAGTCCTCTTGTAATTCACGGTCAGTCCGGTTGTGGAAAGACTTCAGTGATGTCTATGGTGGCAAAGGACGCATGGAATTCTTCAAACCAATCAAACGTTATCATTAGGTACATCGGGACCACTCCCAATTCCTCACAAGTTCGTCTACTGCTACACAGGTTGTGTCAACAAATATGTAACATTTATGGCAGCGATTCTTCAGCCATTAGAAAGGTAATGGGAAATTTTTTGTGCACTTCTAGGAGTGAATTATCCCATTAAATGTCGTTTACAAGATCGGCTACCATTCTAGCATTATCATGTACATTTTTATGTTACCTCCGCAAGGACAAGCAAACCTAATATTTCGAACCGACATCTATTAAATAACCTTTAGCCAATTCAAAATAAGTCCCCATGTTGGTTCTTTTAGTCACTTCAAAAACTGATCAGGTGATACTAATCAATCACAATGGGACATCTGAGACGTATTCAGAGTGTAACGTCATTATATTATATTTTACCACTTACAGGACATGAAAGAGCTTCAGGAAGACTTTATGAGTTGTCTTCGGTTGGCCAGTCCAGAGAAACCGCTATTTATTTTCTTAGATTCTCTTGATCAGTTTGGTCCTGAAGACAACGCTAAGCAGCTAACTTGGCTTCCTACCGTACTTCCAAGTCACGTTAAACTTGTAGTTTCAACCTTACCCGACGCTGTGTATGAGTGCTTTCCAATTCTGCAGGTGTGTGATAACGTGCTATCGAAAAAGCGAAATAGTTGAAATATAGTCAGATAAAAGTGAAATATTTAAAATAACCAGCGTTAAATTCTTTGGACGAGTTTTCTTGGGTGAATCCAAAAGCGGATCTGTTATCTGAGATAATATGGATTCTTAGCTACAAAATAGCCCACAAGATTTGTGAAAGGATCATTTGCCATGACATGAGGGAAAAAAAACAAATTAATACCCGGGGTGAAGACGAAATGCAAAAAAAAAAAAAAAACGAAGAAGAAGAGGGAGAGGAAAACAAAACAAAACAAAACAAAAGAATTAACACACAAACGTCTGTCAGGAGCTAAAACAATAGAGTACCACCAACATAGATTCAATGAGAATGTGAGGCATGCAAGGCATTTGTGGACCAATTTTTGTTAGGAAAACCGCTTGTCAAAAGTGGTTTTTTCAAATCCTTTTCGAAAATTCGCTCAGATGGTGAATTTGGATTTGATTTGAAGAATCCAGACAAAGTGCGGTTTTATGGATTTAACAATTCGGATTTGGATTTCCCCCCAAAAAACGCACCCTTTGTTTCAACAAGTCATCCTTATGGGCCATAAACTAGCAACAAAAGAAATGAAAAAGGAATTGCCATTTCCAGGAGCCTATTTTCCAACAATCCAAGTGTTAAAGATTTGTTTAGTCACTAGATCCTATTGTAAGAAGATATTTTTTCCTTGTTGTAGTCGTTATTTCCTGATGAAAACTTTGTGGAAGTTCCCAAGTTGCCTGAAGATGATGCGTTTCGAATACTGAGCAACTGGTTGAGTATTGCGGGGAGAGGTCTGTCACCATCACAGCAATCCATTGTCTGCAATGCTTTGGAAAAGTGTTCCTTGCCAATATTTATCCGGGTGGCATTTGATGAAGCCATAAGATGGAAGTCCTACTCTTTACCAAACGAAACTGTCCTACAGGAGACAGTGAGGGGTAAGCTGAACAGCTCACCAAGCGATATTTTGTAAAAAGCCCAGGATTATGACATAATGACGGCAATCAAAGGGACATGAACGCACTCGAAATGCAAAATCAACGACAACAACAAACTACAGCGATACAAAAAAACACTGAAACCACTATACCAATAACTGTTACCTTTTTCGCTTCAACGCTCATATTCCTTCAATGTGACTGCACTCAAATTGCATAAAAAGCCTTTTAAAACAATCGAAATCCTTTGTTGCCTCTCCTCCTATTATTATTGTATACTGTATTTGAAGAATATTTTCCAAAAAACATTGATTGCAGTAGTAGGGAGTATTGGATAGAAAAGAGGGCTTCTAATAAGGGTAACATCCACTGTAGAGTGCTGCTTACGCCTTTTTTTCGTTTCTCCGAGTACAACTCTAAGTCTAATACAACTATTATAAAACAATGTTTCTAGGAGCAGTTAACGCGCTGTTTGAGCGGATTGAGACGCAGCATGGGCGAATATTAGTGCAACACGTTCTTGCTTACATCACTGCCTCCAAAAGTGGTCTAACGGGTACAGAAATAGAGGACTTACTATCCTGTGACGATAAGGTCTTGGACGACGTGTATCAGTACTGGACTCCCCCAATACGACGCATACCACCGCTGCTCTGGGTTCGAATAAAGAGTGACCTGGCCGGTTACTTGGTAGACAGGGGAGCCGATGGCGCGAGCGTGATTACGTGGTATCACAGGCAGTTCATCGAGGCTGCAAGAGATCGATATCTGTCGACGGATAAGGAAAGGCAATTTACACACCGAGCATTGAGCGATTATTTCTTGGGTCTATGGGCGGATGGAAGAAAAAAGCCGCACCGAACCATCAACGGGGAACATCTGGAGGCTGACCGGTTTGTTTCCAGTCAGCCATGGACATTTGAAGGGAGAAAGAAGCTCAAGAACTTCAATTATCGCAAGATAAATGAATTGCCTTATCATCTCGTACTTTGTAATGACACGAAAACGCTGAAGCTAGAAGTCTTGTGTAACTTTGAATTTCTTCTGACTTGTTTGGAAGCATACTCTCTTCGAGACCTCATGGACGATTTCGATTTTGCCCTGCAGAAAATCGACGACAAGGACATTCAACTTGTGAAAGAAACTCTCCAGCTTTCCACATTTGCTCTTATTCAACATCCAGCTCAGTTATCCACTCAACTTATTGGGCGTGTCCAAACCCCTGATTCAGATGACATCAAATCCCTATTGCATCAGGCTCAAAACTCATGGCGACCTTGCTTATTACCAAGCAGAGTGTGTTTGACCTCACCTGGTGGACCTTTAGTGCACTCCATGTCTGGACATGCAAAACCGTCATCTGCTCTCAGTGTCAGTGCTGACGGAAAACTAATTGCAAGTGCTTCGGCTGACAAAACCTGTACAATTTGGGACGTCACATCGGGAAGACTCTTACGGACTCTTGAAGGAGTAGGTAAGTGACCGAAAGCTAAATTCAGTCCTTGTATTCGTAAAAGTAAAATGGACAATGTTGAAGTCGAAAGCACATTACCTGGAGCCAAGAAGCTCTCTTTTCATTGGCTTTTGAGAACACACCTGGCCTGCTGTAGTTTTTAGGGATAAGGAAATTGATCCCTTGTCTCGTTAGCTTATTTAAAAAGCCCTTCTTAGAGCCCCAATTATCGTAATTTGTCTCTCTGGTCACTTCGACAGGGTTTACTATTTTTTCTTACTACTTGATCCGCTTCATTTTTTTTTAGGCGAAGATGTCTGGTTTGTGGTGATATCTCCTGACAACTCAATTGTTGTGACCTCGCGGGTAGGTTCCATATCAGTGTGGAGACTTTCAAATGGTCAGCGAGTGTTTTCCTTGGCCCAAGATCAAATGTTTGCCTCACCAGTATGTATAGTCGAGAAGGAGAATCCGAATTTGCTTGCGACAATCATCGCCTCAACTATCAGACTCTATGATCTGCAAAGGGGACATCTGCTTCGAGAGATTCAAGACAGAAAGCTAAAAACGTGCAGTCCGATGATGTCGACGTTGTGTTTGTGCCCTTTGGAAGATCAAAGTGTCCTTTACTCAGGGAAAGACAACGTTTCTCGTTCCTCGGAAAAAGGCTGGATACGAGCGGCACATTTAGACAGTGGCGAAGTCGTGGAGATGACACTGGTCAATTCAAACCAGACTGTGAATTTTATCGGAGTTACCATTACTGGCATGGTATTTTTAGCTCTTTCTGAAGGAGCAGCTAACTCAAGAAAGGGGTCAGCCGTGAAAACTACCTTTTTCACACTCGAACTTTGGGACATTTCTAATAAGGTTCTAGCTCGTACGCTAGCTGACATATCAGACAAAGTGCGGTGCTATGCGTTATCGACGAACAAGTCAAAAGCGTTGGCGCTTGGAAACACTAGATTTTTGCCAAGTGCTAACGTTTTCCGCGCTGAAATAAAAGTTTTTGATTTGATGTCCAGCGAAGTTATTGAACGAACGCTCACCTATCCTAGTAGCATAAATTTAATGCAATTCATTGGCTCCAATCACATCATCACTGCGTCACGTGACAAGATTGTTCGATTGTGGGATCTGGACAGAAATATTCCATCTTCAAGTGAGGAACATGACGAAGACGTTGAGGTGGAAATTGTAGACATGTATGGCTATAAAGCCATATGCTGGGAGAAAACCTCTGTTTGTCTTGTAGACCTTCGCGCGGGAGAATACATTCGGTTCATTAAGGGGCTGCTGCCACAAATGGTGTTTGTCAATGATAATGAAGTCATCCTTGTGACCGATGGAAAAATGCACCTATTTGATCTAACCCGGAGGCAAAGAATTCGTCAATTTGATGGCAATGTATGGACATCAGGGTTAACCAACGGTTGTTTCGTGTGCATGAAGCATCATGTTGTAGCGGTATCTTCTGATCAGTGTGGTCTTTGTGTTTACGACATCAACACAGGAAGAAGAACGTCACACATGCAATGCAAAGACATCCGCAGGTCAGTGCAAATGATTAAATGGTTGCTTCATTATAAGAGTTTAAAGTGCCTTCGAAATTCTTCTGATTTTGTTGAAAATATACCAAAGAAACATTTCAGTGCAAATTTTTCTCTGCGTGTGCATGCTCAGTTTGAATTACCCATGAGATCGTATACAACTGAAAACAACGAAAACAACGTGGTGCACCAAATATGGTGTAACAAATGAATACTACATCATAAACTTTAACAAAAAGCTCGCACTCGAAAGGTCAGCTTTTAATTTTTCTTCACTGGTAAATTTTAGTAGTACTCGACCAAAGTAGTCGATAAAACCAAATTTTGGTGCATCTTTCTCTCACTAAAGAGATTTAAAGTGAACATTTACCTTATCATACGTAATACATTACTCAGTTTCTCTACGCTAGAATAGCCGTTTCAGGTTTGTTTTTGTGACTTTCTCATGCAGCCACAGTCAAGAACTAACACTTATGGAGACAGGGCCTTTGCCGTGTGCGCCCCAACGATTTGGAACTCTCTTCCTTTAAACAGACGTCATTCCAGCTCTGTTTCATTATTTAAGTGGAATCTCAAAACTTTCCCCTTTAAGCACTTTGTAAAGAGTAATTGTTTAGTCTTGGCAAGTATGATCTCTTGGTCTTAGTTTTTAGCTCATTCTTAGCTTCACATTTTATTCACTTTTTAGCATATTCTTAGATTAAGAAGGTTTTTAGCTTATTTTTCATCATTCTTAGTTTTTACCATATTATTTTTTTACTTGATTTTAGTCTTTGTGAAGCGCCTTGAGCAGCTAATGGATGTGCTCGCCACGTAAATGCACAGTTATTATTATTAATTATTACTAGGGTATCTAAAAGATAGTAATGCTGCGGCACATTCTGTTGATACTGGCATTAGTTAGGCAGTGAGAATTAAAAGAATCGAAAATGACATTGAATGTCCTATTTACATGTATAATTACTATCAGTCTATAGAAAGAACTCGTGGGAACGTTGCTTAGAAAATGATCAAGTGGTTATCAACTCTGGTTTTCCCACAGTAAATTGTAGGAAATAATAGAAATTCAGATTGTTTATCAATATATTTAATATACGGTGCACGATATTTTCTCTGGAAACACAATACTTTTCTTGCTGTTTGTTGCACTTTATTAAGTAACAGTTATTTAGCTATATATTTGTAGAAAACAACAACACAAAAAATGGAAAAAAAAAAAGAAAGAAGGAATGAATAGTTCGGTAGGACTCGAACCCTGCACCTTCGGCTCGACGCCATTACACCTAACCACTACACCACAGAGGCTGAATACGTAATCATTAGGAAAAGTCTTTCATCTTATTCCTTTTCCACGAAACTTCCGCCGGCAAGATCATAGCCAGCCGCATTAACCGAGCTATTAACAGTGAAAAAACAGTGTAAACGCATATTCCATGGCAATGAATGAATGAAAGAACATAATTATGCTTTTCAAAACGCCGATACACGTCCTCGCCTGCAAAGTAGGACACAAAACATATATTTTGTTATCTCGATTTCCGCTGTTATTTTGAAGCGAATGGTCAAAATCAGATCCATTTTCGGCTCATACAGTTTCTTAAGAATAGCATTGCATGACATTTTCTCACTTTCACATCACCTTCTAGCAAGCTGGAATTTGTATATCCCCCGTGTTGCGGAGTCGAAGAGCAAATGCTCATCTTCTCGTCAGGTTTAACACCTGGACGAGTCAAAGGCTCTTGAATTGAAATCCAATCCCCAAGTTAACCATCGTACTCATCTGAAAGACTCCTGCGTGTCTTAAAATTTGGTAAGACCTCTAAAATTTGCCACAAAGAAAACTCTAAGTCTGAGCAGCGAACGATGCACTTTCTCACCCACCGAACTTCCCCGTGTTTTTATTTGAGTTGTTCGTGGCACAATGCACTCTGGTTAAATACAATGCATTGTGGTAAAAAGTGATGAATTCGAGAATTCGTCGCCCCTTATATATTTGCTTTAAATCCTGATTATGTTGCTGCTCGCTCCCTTCGGTCGCTCCGCAGCAATAATAATTAATAACAAATAAAAATGGTAATAGGACTAAGTGGAATCCAATTCCGTCTGTAATCATACGAGTGTTACACACACTACGCGGGAGTCCGATTTGTTTAATCACGAGTATGATCGTACAGATCGAATTAGACGACACGAAGTTTTGTTACCAATTAATCATAACTATAACAAAATTTGTGATATTTTAGACTTTTGTCTAATTAAAACAAGAAATTCCGAGAGTTTTTTGGCTTGCAGTGAAAAAAGCCAGTTAAGTGCGCGCCTGCGATGCGCGTACTCTTCTATTACACTGTTCTATTAGTGCTGAAATCAGGACAGTTGATAGCCAATCAGATTTGAGAATTTTGTGATAGTTATGATGATGATGATGATAATAATAATAATAATAATAATAATAATAATAATAATAATAATAATAATAATAATAATAATAAATATGAAATTGACTTGTAAATATCACCTAGAATGCTCTTCACAAAACTGAACTTTGCAATTGCCGAGTTAAACTTCTAATTGCTATGTTTTGAAATTGGAAATGAAAATGCCACCATTAATAACTGATGACTATGAATGAACAAAATCAGTGAAAAATTAATAAACTGAGAAGATGATTAAAAAATGACAAAGATAATTTGTTCCTAGGGCTTTCGGTAGTCTGAGAAAAGTGATGAGGTAGCATTCTATATACATTTTCCAAGGGCGGGGAATGTTACGGGAACACTTCGTGCAGCTAATTCGCAGTATTCTTAAATCACGGGCTCACTTATTATCAACGATCTCAGCATATTTTGGCAATCCTGTTTCAGACTTGTGCACACTGGGAATGGTGACATGTGCGTTTGCGGGCACAGGATGGTTAACGAGGAAGACCCAGAGAAAGTACGGTCCTACTACTCTGTTTGGAATCTGAGTCAGAGCAAGTGCATTCAACAAATTGTTTTAGAGACTGCAGAAGCAGACTTCAATGGTGAGTATTCAATATCAGTTCAATGGTGCTCATTTAACGGTATCGTGCATACACCATGTACATGTACATTTTAGTGTACCATAGCAAGAGCGGATATCTTCCTTTACTTTTTCATTATATTGTACTTTTAAATTAAAATTTTAAATTGTATTGCTTTTTAAGAAGACCCCTATATAGTGGGGGTTCATTGGGCTGCCGACTACATGATGCAGTGGTTTATTATTTTGGGAAGTATACACTTTAATCATACTTTTTACAAGCTTTAGTCCACAGCTACTCCCAACCTAGAGATTAGCCTTTTGAAGCAAAAAACGATTGGGATTATTGTTAACTGGGACACTAAATCAGCCCCATCCATCTGCCACCAAATGTAGCATGACAGTACTAACGTGAATTATCTGATCTAACCGGAGATTCCAAAAAATATTGTGGTTCTACCGTTATAAAATGTGACAGGGCCAATTTTGGTTTTTTAAATACAGTACTTTTTTTAAACGGTACTGAATTTCTGTTTCTCAAAAATCGCCATACCAGCAAATTAAGTTTCAGTTTTATTTCGGTCGGATATTGCATTTAAAGCGATCTACAAATGGCATATTCCTTTCTTGTAAGGAAAGATTTTTCACACGCAGGAAGGGAATTGCAACAAGTTAAAGCTTTTCGCGTGGGCACCGTGGGAGGGCATTGTTTCTGCAGATCCTGCAAGCACAGGCTCACAACATCAATGAATACTGTATTTAGATAATTATTCGCCGTTTTCATAGGGCCAAGACTCCATGCAATAATTTTGTGTTCGTTCCAAATCGACTTCCAAATCTGTTCGCTGACGAGCTGAAATGACCCATCCCGTCACCGCAAAAATCGGTTCCATTGAAGGTGGAATGGGACACGCATAGTCTGCGTTGCAGCCGGCCTACGCACTCGTCTAAACCATTAATATAGACAGAAGGTTTAGAGTGTCTGCGACGCAAGCAAGATACGCAAAGCCCTCTGAAAGTTGCGTCCGCTATTTTGTCTTTTCATGACATGGGAAGAATTTGCGTCTCATTCCTTGATTGGTCATTGTACTCACAGTCAGCCCAATAAAAAGAAAAGAAACCTTTATCAAGAGGTCAAGAGTTACATTTAAATCATGTCTATTTTCTGCTGCGTCATAGACTTTATATATATCACCGAAATCGAATTAAGGAACAAAGGTATTGGACTGCAGTCTTTCTTTTTTTCTTTAGCATGACATTACTAACGTGAATTATCTGATCTAACCGGAGATTCCAAAAAATATTGTCCTTCTACCCTTATAAAATGTGACAGGGCCAATTTTGGTGTTTTAAATACAGTACTTTTTTCAAACGGTACTGAATTTCTGTTTCTCAAAAATCGCCATACCGGCAAATTAAGTTTCAGTTTTATTTTGGTCGGATATTGCATTTAAAGCGATCTACAAATAGCATATTCCTTTCTTGTAAGGAAAGAGTTTTCACACGCAGGAATGGAATTGCAACAAGTTAAAGCTTTTCGCGTGGGGACCGTGGGAGGGCATAGATTCTGCAGATCCCGCAAGCACAGGCTGACAACATCAACGAATACTGTATTTAGATAATTATTTATATATGTCACCGAAATCGAATTAAGGAACCGAGGTATTGGACTGCAGTCTTTCTTTTTTTCTGTAGCATGACAGTACTAACGTGAATTATCTGATCTAACCGGGGATTCCAAAAAATATTGTCCTTCTACCCTTATAAAATGTGACAGGGCCAAATTAAGGTATTGGACTGCAGTCTTTCTTTTTTTCTCCGCCCATTGTGCTGGTTGTAACATTTTTGTGATATGAATATTGCCATAAATACATCTTTTTGAATAGTGTATTGTTTACTTACAGTTTGAACAAAAAAAAGATCTCCTTTAGCTCTAAAACTGGGTGAGTAACTAGGTGGGTCTAATTCTCCTCCTCAATAAGGACCAATACAGTCCAAATAGGGCTGATTTGGACTTACGGGCTGAAATGAGTCCCATGGGAGATAGAAAAGGCATTTGATGGGGCGTTTTTGGCTTAGATTGTGCACAAATGGCTTAAACGGGAGGCTGAATCAGACTTTGGCCTGTCTGGTTAAAAAGGCCATTTGCACTAAGCGGTCATGTGACATCATTGTAATGAAATTTATAAAAGTTATATGATTTTGCCTTCAAAAAACCATTAGTGGGTCATATCTTAAACAAAATAATGGTGATTTAGTTTTCAAACCCGCACCAATTTCTTAAAATGAGTCAGTTCGTAGCTGGGCACGTGACCAATACAAATCATACTACTTTGTGGAAAAATCAAATTGCCATAAAATATCTCCCTTAAATGCGTTTCCTCTCAAATTTTGGGTGTAAGATAATTTTATGCCCTCAGTCCATTTTTGGCATCAGCAAGATTCCAGCTCATTGTTTAAAGGAAGCATTGGTCACTTGACTTCTTAGTGAGAGTGGCCTATTGCCACTTTGGGCCTCAAACGGACTTTTTCCATTTACAGTGCATGGCTTGATCTGGTGATACTCACTTATTCTCTTAACTCTTATTACTTTTCAAGAGATGCAATTGGCAAAAGATGGAAGTTTTCTATCGGACATTGTTTATGACCTCAGTATGAAAATCTACCGAGCTGTGGTGTATGATCCGAAGACAGGAAAACGTATTTTCATCTCGGAAACGAAGTACCAAGTCCATTCCGCAGCTATCGTTTCAGAAACAGGAAACCTGATCTTAGGCTTGTTTGATGGAACAATACAACTCTTTGACTTGGCGACTGGAGAGTTCTTACACAAGATCAGTCATGCACATCTGGGGGCAGTCCATCGAATCTACACCACCGATGATGGTACGGTTGCTATGACAACGGCAGGGGGATTGGACTCTAAGGATCGCTCTATACGGTTCTGGAGACTGCAAAGTAATAGGATAGCTCTTTTAACCGTGTTTACTCCTGATGCGAAAGTATCGTCCATGAACCTGTCGGGTGATGGACACCTTGTGGCTCTGGAAATAACCGACGTTGTTCCTTTTGTTCTTGTGGGAGACAGCAGCAGGAAGGAACTAAAGCAACTCAGTAACACGGACGAATTTATTTGTAGCTACGTTGTAGACTTGCAGGACTTCGAGGTTAAGCTTCCGTAGTTCTATTGTAACTGTCCAAAATTGTACATTGGAATTTTTTATACTGCTTCTAAGAATTACTAACTTAATATCGTGATTATCTTCAACACGATAGCGTACCACCAAACCAAATCATTTAAAAAGCGTTTCACCAATGACATGGCAATATTATAGGTTACGGTAAAGAGGGGCTAATGTCCGGATAATATGATTAGAAATAATTTAAACTACAATTTAAGAACTAACTAGAGTTAATACCACCTGTTTTGGGAAACATTCAGTAAGATATTTGGGACCACTCCTCTGATCCGAATTAGATGCTAAAGTAAGGAAACAGCAATCTTAAGACGCTTTTAATAATACAATTAGAAAACATGATCTAGTGACGCTTACCTCTACGAATAGCCATGAGACCTGCGTCCTGTGTAACTCTTAGATCAAGAATTTATTTTATAATTTCTATAACTGTATATTTTTTTATTAGATCTTCTAACATAGTTTTATACATATTCTTACTTATCTTTTTATACATGTATACGTTAGTCTTCATGTTCTTGGACTAGGTGTCCTTACTTTCTGGGAAGCCGCTTTACTTATCGACGGGGAGAGAAGGTTATTCTTAAAAAAGATATCAGCGACTGAAAATGCAAAACTCTGCGTAAATTTTCGAGTCTTTGACGTCAGTTATTGTAAAGAATAATTTCGGAATAATTTTTTAGAGAAGGGTAGTTGTGCTATACCCTTTAAAAATTCAGAAAATGACAATTTATGTCTTGATCAGAATACAAGAAACGTATGAGGTAAAACTGGAAACAAAGATCCCTAAGAACCCCAAAGAAGCAGGGAATTCCACGACAGCAACGGCTTATTCGTTGGCATTGATTCAAACTATGCTGGACCTTATACAAAAAGTAGGACGACTTGCCTCATCCAGAGATTCATTTAACTAACTAGTTTTATGATGTACCCACTCATGATCATCACTTTCTCATATAAGAGGTATCTTCTTGGAGAGACTATTCTCGATAAAGCAGTAATTTTACGAATACGTCTTACAAGGCACTATTTTTATATATCATGTCCATGTGCAATTAAAACATCTTAAATCTCAGTGCCTCTTACATTGAAAATATTCTAAATTGTTATGCATTCGAACCAATAGAGAATGAGCTTGTTCGAACTCTAATTAAACTTTCTTACCATACGAGTAGCGTAGAAGCCGTACATAGCCAAGTAATTTTTTCTTTTATCATGATGATAATATTCATTTGTTCTTTTCTTTCTTACTTAACTTTTATTTTACTTTTTTCATTTGTTTTTGTTTTGGTACTGAAATCTTCATGTCGAAGATAAAATCAATAAAGTTGTTGTCAAAGCTTTATGCCATGTTAACAAAATATGAAAAAGCACTTGGGACAATGATTTCGGCGTGAATTTTGTAACGGAGCGAAGCTATATACCGCGCCGGTCTTGAAAGTGGATCGTCATATATCGGATAGGTTTCTGCCACTTTTCGTTGTAACGTGAACAGATTTGTGGATTGCGGCAGAAGTAAATGAGTAAAAGCTAGGACTGGAACCCACTGAGACGGAAGTAAATATTTAAAAGTGAGCGTTGGGATTTAGTGCACCAAACCCTCTCGACCCGCTACAACTCCGGGACGATGGTCGATTTGTGCGAAAGATACGTTCCAGTTCTGTGCCGTTGCCGTTCATACTGTAGCGGATGGCTTTTCATGTCGACACGAAAAGCTATCCGTTTGGTGTAGGTACCGGAAACTGAGGGAGTAGAATTAAACTTCACGAGGACGCTATAAGACGTAGAACTAAAACTATTTGAGAGATCTCAAAGATTTTGTGGCCTCTAGAGACTAAAATAGAGTAATTGGTAATTTAGTAATATTTATTTCACAAAAATGTACCTTAATTCTCTCTTCCAGTAATAGGCCATATTTGCTGGTCGTCATTTGATTGGAACTACAAGAAATACAATTTCTTTAATTTTCCGTTGTGTTTAAAATTTATGAATCGAAGTAAGCTGTGAATAGAAAAACATATTCTTTTATCGGGACGAGACGCCAAAACCAAAATTGGTCGTTTCATTTTATTCCAAAGATGAGGTTTGATAACGTTTGCAGCTGGAATCTGATTGGTTAACTCAACAATATTCCATCCGCTAGATTGGCTTAGATTATCAGGCGATCATGATTCAGAAGGAGGAATCCTTGAACGGTGCGGCATCTCACTTAATTTAGACATTGATAAAGTACTGACGGGTGCGTGAGATTCTCTCTAGTGCTCGCAGGCTAGGTATCGCATATGTCGCCCCTGTCCCTGAAAACCGATATCAGTTACAAGAATGCAGATGATATTATTGGGATACATTTTGTATCAGGTGACTAATTGCCCTTTCCTTAATAAACTTATGAACATCGAACACTCTTATAGTTATGTCGAAATGCCGCTTTTTCTATCTTGGTTAGCCAAAAAATAATTCTGTGTAACAGCATAACAAGCCTGCGTACTGAGAATTCTTAAAGAATTATAACCTTTGAAGGATGGTGCCATCTGATCACAACTACGACAATTCTCAACTTTGCTACATCCTTGTATATAGACCTGTTACTCTATTATACGGAAAGGGTAGAGACAAAGACGAAACAGGCACAGCAGAACAATTAATTCGAAGTAACAGAAAAAATTGTAATTGCACATTAATGACAATCACAAATTAGTTTGTTAAAATTATTCGTGCTGAATGTTATAATATTAAAGATCATCGAAGGCGCTTTACGCTTGGTTTAAGAAAAAGCCACGAGTGTTGTTAGTATGAAAGTGGATATTTAGTTTTTGGTATTGAACAACACGTAGATATCTTTTTCTACAGAAAAAACTGAAGTGCCAAAAACAGGTAGGAGCGTTATCCAGTATAATTAAAGAGCCCTATTTCAGCAACTCTCCCTTAGAAAAATATACTTAATTCGCTGCATTATCCGTTAAGAATAACATATTTAACAGCTGAAATTAAAGTTTATCTTGGGAAACAAATTCAACGACAGCTTTGTGATGTTTGATTTTTATACAAGGGAAATCCTTGTAAAAGTTGTAAAAATAAGAGCTTTGTGCAGCTCATTTTTTACGAGAACGATTATAAAACCTTTCGACTTGTCCATTATTTTTGAGAAGAATAAATGTTGGTGGGATCACAAATGTGCCAAGAAAATTTACATTCTTGCTTATTCGTGGGTCATGTAAGTTAAACGGTATTGCGGCGAATTTATTCACAGAAAGCCGTCGCGATAACAAAAAAAAAATCAAATTCAGCAAGCAGGTGAAAATGTACAAAGACCAGTTCTGTATTGAGGAGGAAGTTTCTCAAGTGAAAACAAAAGTTTTTTCGGCAGAATCATTTGAATAAAATTCTGCTTTTTGTACTTTGGGCAGATGCTAGTACACTTTTGTTTGCGTTGTAGATGTTTTCCATTAATTGTCAGCGGCGATTGTTGCTTGAAATTGCAAGCCAACACCTTTGGTTCTGTTTCCATTTACGCTTTTCTAAAATGAATTGAGGTTTTTTCTACTTGATGGTTAATTTGTGTGAATTATAAATGAGAGACAATCAGAAAAACAAACAACAGTATATAATTTCAAATGCGAAAACGTGGGTAATCTAACCTCCGTTTGCAACCGCAAGTCGTAAAGACCTTATACCGAGAATCGCAGCCGAGCTAGCTAGCATAAATTACCAAGCTCGAGCTCAATCACCATTTACTTAGTCTTTAAAAAGCTAATTTGTCAATGATACTCTGCGAGCAACATAAGAAAAACACAATGCCCATCGCAAGTGGAATCCAAACAAAAGAGATGGTCAACCAATCGTCGGATTCTATTCGGCAGATGTTGCTTTAATGACTTGAATCGACTTTCGTTGTTGTGATTCAAACAGGTACCATATGTTTCGCGGTTACTTTTTCTCATGGAAGAAAACGATAAAAACGTGCTTTAATTTCCGCTAGCAGATTTGTACAATACTTTGTCGCAATAATTTACGACCTACAATCTCCTTCGGTCTAGCGAGAGAGACAGTGGAAAGTCAACAGCCCGTTCAAGAAAGCTTATTTCTTCGGAATCTCCTGTTTAAAGTGTTGATATTCTTATCTGGTTGTTTATAAGTTAAAGTGGTCAAAAATTCACATATCCATAAAACTTCAGGTTGGTTGCAAAAAAGTGGGCCTGAAAGTGATACTGGATTTATCACATCCAAACGGACAAGGTTTAAGCCGAAGCGAATTGGGAACTTTAAGTTTTTACGTGATAAACAAGGACTTCAGTCGAATGGCATATTTTAAGTTGTATTTCTAATATGGCATTACAGTTTGGAAACACTACGAGACTTCATCACATCGACTTTCCTTCGGCGGCGACGACAGAAAGCGGGGCGCAAACCTGCGATCAAGCGGGTCTACAGGCAGAAATGAAGCCGACTGTCGCTCAAAAAGATCTTCATAAAACAGGCAAGGTGAATCTAAAAGTTCGTAGAAAAAAAGACAAGGAAATGAAGAACAAAACACGACAGGAAAAGAGTGCTCAATCTCGCATAAAAACTGAAATCTTAAATAATGGTGGCGGTTGTGATGTAACTCAAGACGGCCATCCTAATCGATCAACACTGTTTGGCACCTTAACCCATCATGCGGCAACACGTTACTTGAATTTAACGGTAGAGTGGGATGTCTTAGAATCGTTTTCTGAGTTTGCCACGTTTCTAGAAGTTGAAAACCCTATCTGCCCCGCACATCTTATTGACACCCCAGAGAAACTCCTCAACGTTTTGTCTTGTGAACTGTGAACTTCGTTTTGTTTACCGAGATCATTGCAGCTCGCCAGGGAAAGTTGCTATTCAAAACTAAAAGATGCGGACGAATACAGGGAACTGTTGGCTGCATTCACCCCAACATAGCTATGAGTAATATGTAATATACAAAGAACCGAGAATTCGGAGCAACGCACTGAAATGAAGGAAAACAAGTAAACCGGCTTCATAGACTTAAACTTATTTATTCCTCCTTTATAACTGAAAACCATCAAAAGAATTTTTTCATCCAATTCACGGTGGTGTGAATGTCGTACATTACCCATATCATTAGTTTAATACCCAAAGAAAATCGCTCAGAAATTGCTTTATCACATTAGTTTTTCAGCCCAATTGCCGCTGAATTTTGACAAACATTGACAATTATCTATTTTAGCCGACAAAACATTAGAATATATCCATGTATTAAGCAGCAAACTGGTCTAGTTCATAGCGTTGCCATTTCGCGAATATTTATCATTTATCTTGTGCGAAGGCTTTTACAGTTAGGTACCGCATGTTTTCTTTTTCTTTTTATCAAAATAGAAGAAGCCATTAACTTGTAATATGGTATTGAAATAACAATTTTTTGATAGCAATTGCTTGAAAAAGTGATAAACATTTCTCTACGCTCGACACCTGCATGCGATATTCATAAACTGATTTTTTAATACAAAGTGAAATAAGGTATTTGCAAAAAAGTATAAAAATCATGATAATAAAAAAGTCTTTACTCTCAAAGTTCATTCATTTTCAATTTAACTGTTTACTGCTCAGCATTAAGACATTATGGTTAGTGAGAGATTATCTATACCCTGGGCTAGAATGTTCTTAAACCACACTATCTATGCGACCAGGGTAGTAAATTGTAGATGGCTCTGTAGCTGTAGATTGCGCTTAGCTGGCGGTTATTTTATTCAATGAGCAAAGAGTACGTTTATAAAGGTGTTCGCAGACTTAAATCCTAGTTCTTTTGTCTCACTGGGAAAAGCGCATCTTTTACATTTGTCCAGTCTTTGTTATAAAAAATTTTAACAATGCAGAACTACAATGATATAACTGAACAAAAATGTTAGAAAAAAATAAATACGCAATATCACGAGCAGAATTCATTGTTTAGGGGGCGACTTTTAGTTTAATTTGCTTTTGAGTTTTTTCTTTACATCTTTAAAATGTTGTTAACACATGAAAGCCAGCAGGGAACAATATTCATATATTTTTTAATCATCTTGTCTTTGGTTGCCCAAGTGACTACTTTAAATTTATCCCCTTTTTCCACTTTATAAATGAAAATTGAGTAATTTTCTGCCTTTAAGGATCATTTGAACTGGTGTGCATGTAAATGATTTAGCGATTGAGAATTGCTTGCTACTATTTTTATTCAATTTTATGTTAAATTTAAAGCTGTACCTTATCCCTGAAGAAGCATGCCGGTTAACACAAAATTGTTTTTATTAAATACTTTTTAAACTTAGATTTTAAAAACGGTTGTTCGTTCGACCGTGCTTTCAATTTGAACATTACTTGCAAGATTTCAGAAAAAACTCCCTTTTGCTTTTACGCCTTGGTTGAATTGTGATTGTAATTAACAAAAAGATTATGCTTCCACAAAGCAACGGTGGACAGCTGTACCATAAAATATTCACAATGCGTAAACGTTCATAAGATAAGCAACAAAACCTTAAAATCACTGTAAATTAAAACGCGTCAGGGGATTCTAACATTTTGAATAATCTATGTCACTTCCAATATCTTACTCTGCAAAGGATTTTCAAGGAAATCCAAAATATTAAGCACTAGTTTCGCGCGGTTTTGCTAGCCCATACTCTCTCACTGGTTATTTATAAGTTTCAGGAATGAAAAGGCGTGCAGCTTGACTGGCTTGCATTGCAGCTGTAATTGTAACTCCATGAGACCTACAATAGATCATAGTAGAGATTCAGGATCTGGGATTTAGGCTGTCTGTCGCAGGCTACATTGAGACTGGTCAAGCTTTTCTTCTGACATGAGCGTGCACAAAAGACAGCTGGACATTTGACTACTGTTTGTCCAGCTTTCCTTCTTTTAACATAGTAGCGACCTTATACTAATCATTTATGCTAAAAGGCTTTGCTAAAATGTTATGATTACTGAAAGACTGGACGCTACAAAATTAAATTATATTTGGGATTTCGCAATAAATGTTCCAAAATATAAAAATTAAAAAGAGAACTGGCTTAAAATATCCCATTGTAGAAACTATAAGTGGAATGGATACTATCTTTCGGTGCAACTACTTCTGGGGTCGATTGGGAGGACGTGCTACTTATGAGTGGTTAATGGTTGCCTTGAATACTATCGGCCAATCATAACTAATGTTTGTACCTATTCTCCCTAAAGTTTCCAAAGTGGGGAAAATGTTAACTGTTTAGGTCAGCATGCCTCGACAAGAACATAGCAAGAGGGCAGTCCAACTTTTTCTGGGATGGTTTGACTATTGTCCAGGTTCATACCAAAGTTCGCAGACGTCTTAACTACTACGTAATTAAATTAACTGAGAAAAATTGTATGTTTATATTACTTGGGGGATCTCATAGGAAGAAGCTTTTGAAGCAATCAAAAGTAGGATCAGCTCTGCACCCCCGTTGAAGTGATGTAGCCAGTGAACCCTCTATCCCACTATTGGCAAAGTGACGTCTTAGAGTCCGGTTTAGGGGCGACTTTGCTCCAAAATGAACAGCTTGTTGCATTTATATCCTTGCAGAACGTCTGCACGGTGTTGGCCTAGGATCGCTTCAATCAGTACCTGTACAGAAGAGAATTTTTAAATGTGGAAACAGACCATAAGCCATTGGTTCCCATTTTCCAAATGTCTATCCATTCAGCAGCCAAATTTTACTTTTAAATTTTACTTCTACTTGGTTTGCAATCTGCATGTGAGTGAAGTATCTTCCTGCTTCATAAATGTACATAGAGGACATGCTTAACAGAGCCGTTATCTCCAGGCTGACCGCACTTAGTAAGAGGACAGTTTGGAATACCAAATGTTCCAACTCAAGCAAGAACAGTAGCTGTGTAAAGAAACTGCTAGCATCAACCAAGTTGATTAAATGCGCTTATCAGAGTGAGAACCCATCGGCTGATGAACTTGAGCAATGTACGCTTTTAGACCCCACACGGCAGACTCTAATGGACACTGTTAAGACAGTGGATGGCCAGTCTCAACGGAAGCTGTCCTCCCTTGCATTTGAAGAGGTATCGGAACAACAAAGACTGAGAGGTAACAGCACAGCAAAAGAAGGTAGACAAGTGAAGTGGCGGTCATCGTTCCCATTTTAATGAGACCACAAATGATTTTTAGAGTCCATTCTAGTCGCCTAGGACCCGATGGCTGGGTACGTCGAGCACGTGATGTGTTGTGCATGTCAAATCAAGGAACAAGTCCCAAAACTGTGCAGTCTGTAATGAATTTCTTAACGGTTGATTCTGATTTTTATTGCTCTGACTGTGTGGAGGCGAACCGACAGTGTGCTGAGTTTCTTCGTGTGTGTTGAACATTGGAGGCCATTAACTGTATCGTAAATAGCCTGCGTAGCAAGCGTTTCCGCGCGAGTTCGTCTAGAAAAGTTGGGAGGAGAGCAAAATTCCACCTTTTTTTTTTGCTCCCGCTCTAACTTTCGCGTAATAACTCGATCGGAAACGCTTGTTACGCAGACTATATGGTAAAGTGTGACTTGGTTGCCTTGATCTGCAGGCCAAACTTATTTACTACAAGACCGACAGACCATTGACAGGGCTGCAAATTGGGAAACCAATACGTCTTCAGCCAGTAAACCCCAACAAATCTAAGGAGGGAAGGATCGTGTGCCGCAGAGCACAGAACTGAAGACGGACCACGTTCGTACCTGAACGGAGACCCTTAAAGGCGTAATCGAAAGTTCATCCGCCAAGATTCCAGCCAAAGGTAACTCCTATCATCACTGATGGCAGTACCATCAACCAGAACTCACCTTTGACAAAGCCAGCGGATGCTAACCAAGAATCCTGGTGAAAAAAGGAAGTTGCAACCGCCTCAGACTCTCCTAACGAAAAGTGGCAGCGTTCGCCCCTCAAGATTCACTGACAACGTTTAAAATGTATATGAATTATAAACTTTGACAGTAATCTTAGTCATTAGTGAGTTTTTCTTTTCAATCGGAGGAATAGGTCAACTTGTAGCAGAAAGACCGAGTTTCAGTAAATGTTCTAAAGGCAAGAAAGTTTCTAAAGGAATCTAAATTAACTCGATTAATTAGAGGGAGATGTTACATGAAGTATTTTATGAGGTCCTCATATTAAAACTCCCATAAGTCTCCCATAAGTCTAGGTGGGCCGATTAGTCATTCAAGGTGTCGTTTATTTCTCAATTACCAGCCGAATATTGATATGTGCTAATTTTTCAACAATACAGAACGATTTTGAGTTTCTCTCTGTGTGATGGAAAAACTTACGCCTTTCGTATCTCAATAATAAGGGTTCGTATGTATGGCAGAATCAGTCAAGCGTCGATGTCATCTTTGGCGTAACGCAAAGATGTCACGGTAAAAGAGCAAATCCTTGTGTCAGTGATTAACACGATTTCTCATCAGATTGGTTAGGTGTCTTCAAATATATATGAAGAAATATTAGTCTCAAGATAATATATATGAAGAAATTTTAGTCTCAAGATAAAGTTTAAGCACTGTTTTAAACTCAGTTCTTAAATAATTGTGAACACACATCTAAATAAAATTGCTCTCTCTTAACATGTACATTTTCCAATGACCTGAGGTAGTAGAGGAAAGCTAAGGCTGATTAGAAGATACAACATTTTGTCGGTTCGCTGTCTATTCATTCTTTGGTTATCTTGTACCTAGCTTTTGTCATTGTTTGGAGAATACTTGCTAGGCACGATAACTATCCTCTTAGAGTGCAATAATAATAGCAATGCTGAGTTGTAAATTTAAGCTACAACATCATAACACCAGTTTCTCGTCTAAGCATTATTTTAATCTCCACCAGCAAGAAACCATTCCCAACTATTGAGTTACGTTTAGAGAATAAGAGATGTATGAAGAGCTGAAGTTTTAGAATGGCCTGTATTGGCATGCCCGGATTACTGTAACTCTGGGCTCGGAAGAGAATTTCATTATCAAACATCATATATGACCAAACAGGCACCGCCAGTGTTCCCATTTAAATGGCCATTTGTTTCCTGCTTGAGATTTGTAATAAAAGCTTGCAACTTTTTCTGTGTCAGTGAACAGTGATGTCAAACAGCTCATATAGCCATATCAAAAACGTTTAACCCGGAAGCATAATACATCCGAGCGTATCTTTCTTGTAACGGGACACACTGGTTGTCGCTTGCGATGTTTGATAGTCATCACGGTTCACTGAATGAGTGACAATTTAACGACCTTGTTGTTCATCTCTTAAGACTTCGACATGACAGAATAGACGGTCCAGGTGTAGAGAACAGTACAAACGAAATGGCTTGTGATTTAAGTAAGCTCTAAATCTACGAAATCGAGGCTCGACTGACTTGCGTTGAGGCGAAATGTTTGATTGATGCAACTTATCATTGATGCAGCTTATCATTGTCGAACATTAGCCTTCCATTTCGATGCTTTCTCTGTCTTTTCTTTCAATTGTTTTATTTGCTTTTCCCGTGCTTCAATTTTTCTCATCAGATCAGTATTTTCTTTCAAGTGATCTTGATAAACACTTTCAGTCTGCGTTCTCTCCGCCTCAGTGTCTTCAAGAGATTTGTCCTTCAGCGATAAAGCTTCGTTCATAGTTTTCATTATTTGCTTATACTCGAACAGCTTTTCATCTCTTTCTTTTCTTAATGTCTCGAGATCGTGAATGAGGTCTCCTTCCTTCTTATGCCTGTCCCTAATGTATTTATTCCTTTTCTCAATTTTTGATTTCAGGTCGCGTATTAAATCTTGAGCATCACTTAACGCTTGCCTTGAGGCCATATTATCATACTCCAGCTTTCTCATCCCCTTTTGTTGACGATAAATCACGCTAAGGTTTTCTCGAAACGATTTTCCATGAACTGTCGTACTGTTGTCTTCTAAAGACGAATGTAAGCAAGGTTCAGTAAAAGCTCGTGATCTTGGTGACAAGAATGGCATGCGGGCTACCGAGGTCGGCTCACTTCGAGACAAATGATTTGGATTGTGACCCGGAGAAGCTGAGTTCAAAACACCCGATCTATTCATGTCCTGTTTAGGCAGTTTCATGTCTCCTGTTTTTAAAGAACGATGACTGTAACGATCCGACTTAAGCCTTGAGGCTCCGGTTGTCTTTGAATTTGTTGTATTGGGAAGCATGATATTCCTGCGTCCATGTCCATGTGGTTTCTTATGCAATAACTTTAGTTCTGCCCATTCGGTTTCATCCACCACTTCCCACGCAAGACGTTGCTCAATAGCCTTGCTTTCGGTTTTTCTGTCTTTTACAGCGAAAGCACGTCCACTGGAATTGTTCTCTTGGCTAACTGAAGGCAAAGAACGCGAAGTTAATAACTCTTCTGCCATGATAAAAGATTGGATTGTCATCTGATTCGATAGAGTGCTGACACAAAGACAGAACCAGCTATCTCCGTTCGTTTGTAAGACTCTTCATACAACTTAACTCGATCGGAGGATACATAAGCAAAATATTTAGAGTTACTGCTGTGCTATTCTACGTTAGCAACACCGTTAAGAGTGTATTGTTTACAAACTCCTGCAGAGACACCTCCAAGTGTGTGCAGTTAATACCTAGAGGCGTCAATCAACGCAATATCACAAAGACTCAAAACTGCGTCACCATCATGACGATTCACAGTGATCTACAATTATTCCCGCTTCCTGCGATAACGGCCGGTGTTGGGATGAAATCTTCCTGTACAAACTACATATTTGATTCTTTCCCGGATTCGTCTATGAAGAAAATCTGTTTTATTATATGTCTACTAAAGTTGTAAACCAATTAACAGATAAGACCATGAGACCATTCATCCCATTTTGCGTGATCTCCATAGTAAATAAAATTGACCAAATTTATGGTATTTCCGGAATGCCCTTCTGGTTAAAGGCAAATATTTTTATAGTTTTAGCTGAGCACAGGCAACTAAATTAAAATGTTCTATTCATGTAAATATGAACTACACGAGACAATTCAGACAAGCTTAAATTAATGGTGGATCTAAAAATGGATCAAACAGATTAAAGCAAGTCAAAGTACATGTATGATGACCGCCTATGATATACTAGATCCTTTATAGCCGAATCACCGATTTCCTTAGTCGCATAGTATAAGCGCACTTACGTACATTTTTGTACAACCGTTTGAGGGCTCATAACACCTTTGCGCTAAGGATCTATAAAGTGCCCCAGTGTTGTACTTGTATATTCGTAGAGAACTAAAGTACAGTGAACAACAACAACCCAATGTTAATTAGAGCATTATAAGTGCTTCTTTTGTTTATTAGCTTTTAGTTGGAAACAAGAAACAAAAGCTACAACGGATGATTAACGTTGATCCTGACCAAAAATTGTAAACTTTCTTCGTTTATAGAGTAAATATCTAAACTGATTGCTTAAAATAACATTACAAATACTGGGGTGTAATTATAAGTAATTTAAAACTCGTCAAAGTCACAGTTGTCGGTTTTTGTACCCGGTCATGGATGATCTGTCTGATTGGTGTCATGGGAATCAAAAAACAAACATTTTAAATTCTTTTTAACTGGGGACAATTAAGTCTTAAAAATCTGCATTAAGAAGACTGCGTTTTGCTCACTGATAATTTTTGCTTCCCGAAAACCTATGAATGAATACAAGACTTTTGTAGGCTGAGAAGATGGTCGAGAATTGAAAGACCAAAGTTCAACGTCAACCGCGGCTTCAGAGTCAGTTCGGCTGACTTGAGGGGGTGCGAGGCGACTTGCTGTATCGTAAGGACGGTGTGAAAGTCAGCAGAACGCTAGAAGTAGCTAAAAGGCTTCTGTCAACCATTTATAGAGCCATGAAGAAGGCAATAATAAGTCAACAGCAGCGAACAATTCAAGAAAATAACGAGGCGCTTCTTTTACTTGAAAGGAACAAAGTCGACATCATGAACGAAGTCGCCAGAGCGAACCACGAAATTGAAGAACTTAAGGCGAAACTTGCCAAGAAGAACAACGTATTAAAGAATTCTCAAGACCTACAAGATACCCTGTTACTTCAGGCTGAGAAACTGAGGTTAGAAAAGGAACAGTTAAATCAAAGATGCGAAAATGCTGTAAACGAAATGAGAGATCGATTGCAGGTCAAAGATAACATCATTTTGCAAGTGCGGGAGGAAATCGAAAAATACATCAAGTTGCAGAGAGAGGTTAAGCAAAGGAATGAGGTTTTAAAGGGAAGGCTTGAGAAAAGAGAAAAAATTGTCACGGGACTGAAAACTAAATTAACAATGTTGACTTCATGGAGCGTTCGATCAGCAAGCGTCACGCAACTGACTCCACCAGCACCTACAAGTGCAAAAATGGAAACTGTGGAAGAGTCTCATTGATAATGATCCGTCGGATTCTTACTTGTGAAATGGTATCTTAGAACATACGTAACTTAAAACAATAACCAGGTTCCCTAAATCTCAAAGTCGCCGTAAATTCAGTGATTTGTTATCGTCATTTAATTCATGACGAAAGAGAAACACGTAATGTTGTTCTGGCGAATTTATATTTCTTTACCTTTGAGCTTAATTGTGTACGAGCTATACTTCCACATGGTTGTAGTATATTCAGTTTTCTAGTTAGTAAAGTTCTAAGCTTAGTGTCGAGTCTGGGTCTATCAAGTTCTATTATGTGCTAATTCAAATAAACCTCTCCAACAGAACATTTACTCGTTGCTATCCATTTTAGTATTTAAAAGTGACACGAAATGCTGGGTTTGAAAGCGAAACTGCTGGAAATGTAAGTTGGAGGAACGTCATTATGTAATTAGTTAGTTCAGTCAAACCTGCAATTTTATGTAAAGGAAGTTACTTTGTGGTACATTAGCTTGTATAGGGATCAAAGAGCATTTGCCGGTCTATTCCCTTTTGTGTAGTATTTCTAATATTGATGCGTTTCTGTTTAGCACTTTTCTTGGTTTGCTGAATAGGTTTGGTTCTGAAAATTAACACATACCAACGCAAGTTAGTCTAAAGTGACATAATCATTGCCAAAAATATAAATGAGACCTGTTTACGTGCAAAATCATATATGCCACATTTATTTGCTTTTATTATTGATATATTTCCGCTAATGATATTGAAGGCTTTGTGAAGCTTGTAACTAAGTAAGAAGTACAATTGTCATACAGGTCTTGGACAAAAGCAAATTAAAATATGTCAACCTAATAAGCCTACTGGGGCATAGGGCGCTGTCATCAAGAGATATGGACAAACACAAAGATAAGAATCTTAACAATGAAAAAGTAGCTATAACTGTTCCTGTGAATGAACTGAGAGTTGCCTTTCGTCGTGAAAAACGAAAAGGACAACATTGCAATTTAAAAACTTAGGTTTAGGGTTTTTCAAGTTGTGTCGGGCAGCTGTGTCATGTTTCGGACAAACTCCCAATAATCGGCAACTGCTTTGCTTTTCTTAAATTGAAAACTAATCCGTAAGTTGCAAATGTCGCATATACAAAATAAACTTTTGTACTCGCATAAAATGATAACAAACTTAGCATGACAAGAATTCCCGTAATGGTGCCTCTTTTGTCAGCAGCTCCTTTGTATGATTTGCCCACCGATTTCAAGAGCTCTCTTTGAGGCGAATAAGGTATTACTCACGAGCGGGAGATTAAAGTCCTGCATTTTTTTCAGGCTTCCTAGGCAATTGGATAGATTGCGTTCACAACCGCGAGGATCATTCTTATTTGATTTCATTTCCGCAGTTCTCATATATGATTTATTTCATATACATATGTCACATGATATATATTGTTGTTTCATTCAGAAACCTACAAATTTTTTTACTATAGTTGTATCTAACAATCAGTGTTGAAGGTAGGTTAAAATATTCTGACATCCCCAATAAGTGAGAGTGAAAGCTACTCTTACCATTACAGTGTAAATCAAATGACACTAAAAAAGATTGCTTCAGACTGAATATACAAAATGTAGATGGGGATTTTTTTTATTAATAGTGATATTTAAAGGAAAGCGACCAAGTTCAGCTCTACGAGCAATATTAGAAGCCTTGTTGTTTACCTATAAGTAATTGTTGAAAAAATTGAAGGTGTGTCTTTTCGATTTGGGAGCCATCCCAGGTCTTAAAATCTGGTTTGGCATACACACTCCAAATTTCACTATTATATGTCAGAATAGGAAAGATCGTCGTATCAAATATTGTACAAGCAAGAGATGTTTTTAGTGGCATATTCCGAGGACATTCTTTGTCATTACTCCTCTTTTTCATGGCACTTGCATGTTTGAGACGCTTTTGCAAGAAAGTGGATGCGAGTGCGAAACCAAAGGGCCAGAAATCAACCACCATGTTCATGGTTGAATTGAAAAACTATGCCAAAGAAGATAACCAGACTAGCTTAGTTACCGTTGTTACGAAATAACGCGACAACATCCGAAAGGAATATAACTAATAGAAGTTGGATTGAAGTGTGCGAAAATAACTTTTAAACGATGATAACTTGCAGAAACCGCCAAAAGAACTCATGCTGACAACATCAGTAACCTGGCTGTTTCCGTTGTCACCTACAGTTTCAATATTATTTACTGGAAGATGAGTGAGAACAAGAGGCGTGACATAAAACAAGGAAATCACTTACCATCCAAAGAAAGCACCACCCGAAGCCAGACGTGAATAGGATGTACCTCCCAGGAGAGTCTTGAGAGGTGGTTTCACCAAGTTAGAACTCGAACTGTATATACAAATTAAAGACGATAGGGCTCAGTGATGTACACTTAAGAAAACTGATAATACTCTACTCAATTTTAATTGACAACAATGCTAACTATTAAAATCCTATTTACTATTAATTTGCTTGAAAAAAAGAAAAAACTATTCATTCAAAACACTATTTACAATTCCCGTCGATTTAAAAAGCACTTAATTTAGTTTAGAAAGAGTTAATTTAACTAAGAAAAATTTATTCGACTTAAAAACATTTCATTTCAATAAAAAAACTGTCAGCCTCTAAAATTCAAAAGTTCCTTTCAACTGTTTAAAAAATAAAATAAAATAAAGACAATTAATAAAGCATCTATAGCTGTTGAGTCTAGGGAAGTCCTGCTTGACCCTTCTCTATTTCTAGATCCCTGTCAAAGGCTGAATCACACAATTATTTACAAAAACTTTACAATACTTGAAAATTACAAATGAATCCTAGATAATAAGTCAAAAACTAATTTTTAAGATAATATTAAAAATTCTATTTAACGTATTCATATTGAAATATGTTAAAATATAAAGCATGACTATAAGTGGGATAAAACTACAGCCCGGACTGTTTCGACATCGCATATATAAAAGTATTACTTGTTCTGCTCGTGAAAAGCTTTGGCATATTAAAAAGGCGCTGTCGTCTTAGGTTGTAGCGTGAGTTGTCATAGTCTGGTGGAAGGAGCGCCTTCAATTTATGGTTTGAATCACTGACAATGTTATCAAAAAGCCTGCTACATAGTACGTAGTAGTGCTCCAAAATGGATGTTAAGTTTTATAACCCCACCTTTATTGCCGAGTTGCGCTTTCCTGAGGTTATTATTGATATTGCTCTTTTCTCGAGCCGTACCAACTCTTTCTTTAAGTATTGGGGGAGACCGTTGAAAAAGACAGGTGCTGCATAATCAAGTATTGATTCAAGGAGATGAATCTGCAAACCTTATTCTCAGACTATCTGTAACTAATGCCTTGCACAATAAACAAGTAATTTATAGACGGTGCTGAATTTAAGTTAAACTTGCTAAAATGGCGACTCTGATCGCCAAATGGCCACTGAACGCACGAGCCGTACCAACTCTTTCTTTAAGATACGTAGAACAGTGCTAGATCTTGTTTCGCAGGCTTTTCTTAAGGCTTGATCCTCGGTCCCCTGTTATTTATCCTGTTCATCAACGACCTGTCACTGGAAATCTCCAACAGCACTGTTGAAATTTACACTGATGATACAACACAAATTGCATGCGAACTGATGAAGAGGTAGAGTCTACTTCCTGATAAACCAAGGCTTCTAAGCCGAGATGGGCCGTGCCGGTGAGAATGGTTTAAAGCATAACAAGGCAAAGTCAATGATTGTCTGCAGCAAGCAGCGAAGTTTGGGGGCTTGGACGGAAAAATCTTAACGTGAGTACATATAGGGGGCTAACTTGATTCTGAAGCGGAAAGTAAACTACTTGTCATAAAGGTAGACAATTGTCTAACATGGGACAACCATATCGCGTAAAGAGGGAGGCGACTTTACCTACTGAAAAGAACAAAGAGATTTCTTTTTCTGAAAGCAAGAGGATTCTTCTATGACTCAATTATCCAGCCAAAACTAGACTTCACGGGGTGGTTGTCTGTGGGTTCAAAAAAAAAAAAAGAAGCAATATCAGCGCTGAAGCACGCGTAGCAACTCCACCGTATGGCCATTACCTTACGCATGCGCACTACGATATAGCCGTTGGGTCTATGAGCAGACGAATCCGCGTATCGAAGACCCTCTCAGGTCTTGTGAGTCTTGCCTCGCAGTGTCACGAAGGATAAAAAGTCTTAGGAAAATCTTCTTCAACCGACCCAGAAAAAAACTGAATAGCTCGTTGGTTTTCGGGCAGATATTGATTTTTCTGGGCCTAGCTAATAATGTGATAGTATCGAACCGTGAAAATATATAATCCAATGCAATTTGAGGCTGCTTTTTTTTCGTTCAAAGTATATTATTTTCTAATATTGCTTTTAAAGGCTTTATTTACATTGTTTCCAAGTACTGAAAACAACTATACTTTCGATTCGGTCCATCCGAACTAGGCGCCCGTTTGATCGACGAAGCGAGTTGATGTCTAGTCAATATGACGATTTACGTTTCGCAGTCTGGGGTGGGGAGGTGTGCAGTGCATTGTAAAAAGGACACGTTGGAGTGACGATGTGTCCCGCGTTGACCCTTTACTATCATTTCTATCGTCACGCAAAAAAAAGGCGTTGAACAACGTTGGAAATAGCCTGTATTTCATCCGATTACTTCGAGTCGTTATTACGGAGAAAACAGGGACCTTTAGCAGTGACGACGAGCACGTGAACGTCAACTACCGGAAGTTGGAAAACGAACCATGATACTACCACGCATGCCCAAACGAGCACGAGCTCGTCGTCCACACCTCGTTGAGGACTTCATTTGCCGCCATTTGACGTCCTGTGGTGAACGTGAGTATTGCTTGACTTATTTTCTTCTATTTTCTGACTAAATTTTGCAATTTCTTGAATCCCAAGGTTTTTCTTAGTAGATAAGACAGAAGCCGTAAGTTATTCCTGTTGCTGTGAAGTAAAAAACCCCGATTTTTTCGATGTTGCAGGAAAAATTTGACAGTCTTAGTATAACTACACTCGGTCAAAGAAGTGATGGATGCAGCAGGAATATCAGGGTAAGTTTCAAGCGTTTTTATAAATGTAAGTTGTATTATTTAAACCGCATTTGATAACATTTTTGTAAAAATCCTGTCGGGATTTTTATGAAGTTTTGTTCGTCTTTGAAAGTCTAAACTATTCGTGTAAATACATTTTGTAAAAATCCTTTCGGGATTTAAACTCTGAATAAAAGTTTTTTTCGTCTTTATAAAAGTCTAAAAGCCAAGTTGTTGTAAATGAAGATTTTTTTAAATCGTTCTATAGATGTTTTACGCTGTACTTTTTACCTCGAGAAAAAAAACTTTACAAATAATTTTTTGCAGCAGAGAAATCGTTTCAGGCAATTGATGGAATCAAAAAAGCTTACCATTATTAACACTGACAAAAATATAATTATTTGTTGTATAAAAGTCGTTAAGTTTTTTAGTCGATAATTTTTGCACATGAAGATTTTTTTAAATCGTTCTACAGTCATGTTTTACGCTGTACTGATTTTCACCTCGAGAAAAAAAAGTTTATTTACAAATAATTTTTACTGCAGCACAGAAATCGTTTTAGGCAATCAATACGGAATCAAAAGTTTGTAAGCTTACCAGTATTAACACTGACTGTAAAAATATAATTATTGGCACTTTATTTATATTCAGAAATTATTCCATGAAGTGGTCAGAAGAGCACGATCTCATGCTATGCAGAGAAGTTCTTGTCATGGAACCATTCAAGCACCCAAAGCAAAGTAGAGAGAGAGGAGAAATCTGGGGAGAAATAGCACAAAACTTAAATGGGCTCAGTGTACCCAAATTCACTGTAAGAACGCGGTCTGTTAGGGACAGGCTCACTCTTTTGCTGAGGAAGTACAAAGAAAAGGTGAGAAACGAAGAGCAGGGCTCTGGCATGAAATGTGACGAGGAAACAGAATTGGAGATGGCATTGTGTGAAATCATAGAAAAAGAACAGGCAGCTGATTTAGAAAGGAAAGAAAACACTAACACTCTTACCAAGAAGAATGAAAACGACAAGGCGTCAGCCGAAGAAAGTAGGTTGAAGGCCTTGGAGCGCCTGGGCCAAACAAAAAAGAGGAATGCTGATTCGTGTGATGAAGTTATCAAACCAAAAAGCAGAAGAAGTACCACTGAAGCTGTGCAAATTCTAAAAGAAAAATTTGAGAATGAGAAGGAATTCCGGAAGGAAGAAATGGAATTGAAGAAGAAAGAGCAAGAAAATAAAGCAGCTCAGCATCAAATGCTGATAGATCAGCAGAGGCAGAACCAGCAACAGTACCAAGATGTAATGAAGATGATGGCTGAACAGCAGCAGAGGCAGGAACAGCAGCTACAGAACTTTCAAATGCTTTTCCTGCAGCAGCAACAACAACAGAGTCAAATCTTAATGAGTTTACTTGAAAAAGTAATGCCCAAATCCTCATAAGAGCTGGCAAAGGCAAAACAAAAGTTGAAAATCAAATTGTCAACCTTTGGCCCTTTCAGCCCTTTAGAGCCATGTTGTTGTTATCATAATTTTTAACTGATTATTTTCCAACTATAATTTTGTCTCTTTTTTTTTTCTGGTGACTCTGCCTGTCCAGCTTGGTGATTAGTTTTTCTTCACCTCGACTTCAAAGGTTGATGGGTTGTTTACACCTCTGGAGAAACGAATTTTCTTAGTGCAGTGTGTACAGTGATCAAAGATACATCGTTGAAGCTAAGATAACTTATAGTAGAGCAGATATGTGCTTGAATTGTTCACTTTCTGTTAAAAGCATGAAATTTGGCATGATGATAGTTTTCAAGGCCCTAAAAAAGATAGGATATGGTGCCATCGCTAAAAAGTGCGAAAAATAGGACTTTTTATTATGGCGGCCATTTTGAACCGGAAGTGAAATTAACATTTTCTTTAAAACGTCTGAATTTTAGCAACCTGGATAAGAAAATGTCAGCTAATGCCTAAGGCAGCTGTTTTTTTTCATACAAAGAGATATTATTTCAACGCAAATTGTCTAAAAAGTAGAATAGAGATGATATGTGGCCGCCAGCTAGACCGGAAGTAAAACTACCAGAGTCGGAACTAGACTGCAAGCAGTCTCTCTTTTTCTTCAGGTTTATGGCCATTTGCGTGTCTCGCGTTTTTCTCGACGGACTACAGAAAAAAGAGACTGCTCGTAGTCTAAGTCGGAACTTTTAAGGAATGAGCTTAAACTTCTGTTGTGCCTGCTAGTTTTCTTGACTTTAATATTTTCTTTATAAATGTAATGTATACGCTCAATTTACTATTTTCATCATGTATAATCCATTACTGAACTTCAGCCTACTTTGGCTTTGATACGGAACATCGAAGAAGAGCAAATGGTATCTCAGTGACCTAATTACTTGATACTTCATGCAGGCGAGTGCTTGTAATCGAAAAAAAGAGTTGGGGATCGCCTTTCACGATTGTCACTCTTCTAGGCATAGCCCTTCTTACGAGCGTACTTTACTAGTTCCACCCTCAACAGGAGAGTCGCCACTCTCCTCTTAGAGATATCAAGCCCCAACCTTGCAGACTACGAACCGAGATGCTTGGTAGCAGTGCCTGCTGACTCCATATGTGACCAGCATGGTTCGCCGTGCCCTTGAAATGTTTAAAAAATGCATGCCGGGTCAAAGAAAATACTTTTGGCTTCGTCAGTTGACGGTAAAGAACTACTTTTTCTATCGTATATATAGAAGAACGTGTAAGCGAAAACAACTCCGATTATTTCTGGAGGTGACCAGAAGTATTAACCTTGTCATATCCTGTGAATGCATGGAACGGTGGACGTGAAAGTGCAGCTTTTTTAGTAAACACTTTAGCAATATCGTAGGCTGCAAGGTAGCGTAGATGTACATTACTACCAAGATATATGATAAGGAAGCTAACTTGGCTTCATGGTAGAGAAGCTTCATCAGTACTAGAACGGAGAGTGGACTCAATAAAAATGTCTCGGACACAAACAACAGAGAGAGTTCAAAGAAGGGAATCTGCTTTGTGATATGGCATAACAATAAATGCGTTCTAGCGAACTAGACGAAATGCGTTGCTCAATGTGCAAGGAATCTAAAAAGCACCTGCTTGTTTCGATCTTTACAAAAGAACTAGCTTTTTCCAGTTCCTTAGTATAGCTCCTGATACACGTTTACCCCAGATCTTAGTCTTCAAGCTTTTCTCGGCGCGACATATTTGTCACATACTATATCCAAGAGAATACGCTTTACATGCTCAGAGGATTAACGTAAGTGATGCACATTCGGAAAATGCTTTTTCCTTATTTTCTTGCATGTGGACTTTAGCATGATAGTCAGTGCTGCTCAGTCCATGATGATTAAATGGCATTCTGGGGGTGGTTACATTAAAGATTAGAGACTAGCTCTCACTTCTGTCGAGAGAGGCGCAGATTCACTTGATAGTGATCATGAAATACAGCTGAATTAAACCGCCGCCTGGTTAGCTCCAGGTGGGTAAAACACCGGTCTACTGAGCGGGAAGCCGCGGTTTCAAACCCCGGCCGGACCAATTGTCGATCAGGATCTTTAAATAACTGACGAGAAATGCCGCCTTTTTAATGTCATCTGCAAACGGTTAGACTTTCTAGACTGATTGGAATAAAAAAAAAAAACCTGTAGGCCCCTTCTCACGGTCCTTGTTCATATAAAATGCTGTGGGAAGTTAAAGAACCCAGACACTGTTTGTAAAGAGTAGGCTGAGTAGGGGACCCATTTACCTTCCAAACGGATTTCCCGGAAACTTTTTGAAAATGGTAAACTTTGAAGTGAGCAGACGTTATCGTGAAAGCAATTTCAATCCAATATGTACATGCACAGAGTGTTATTTATACTCCTCAATAACACAAAATGGTGGAGCTATTATACCTCAAATTACTTTGAAAACCGCAAAGCATTCTGCATTCTAGTTAATAATGGATCAACTCTTTTAACTCTTACAAGTTCTTCAAACTGGTCTCTATACATTTCCTTAAAAGAATAAGTTGAGATAATTTGATAAAAGAGAGAAAAGCATTTTCTCTCAGGTGATAATTTTATTAATTCTAAGAACCTAATCTCTTGACCTTGTATGGATATTGTGAGTCAGAAGAAGATTGATGTTGGTCACTATTGGGACTTAAAGGGTTAAGCCAAGTAAAAAGAAATAATCTGTTTTTTGCTGGTTTAATTTGTTCGAATGTTTGGCCTTTCCTATGCTTAAAAATGTGAATCATTGTTTCACATTTGTTTTAAATGCACTACTGAAATGAGTTACTTTGAATGAGTTGCATTTTCCATTTTGGCCCGCTTTTACCTCCGGTTCTTTCATTTAATCTGCTAATTTGTAACACGGTTGACTTTTTTATATGACATAAATATCCGAAAAAACATAGAACAAACAATTTTGTCGTTATTTTGACCTTAACATGCTAAATTTCGTGTAGTTTTAGTTAGGTGATATTTACTTCCGGTCAAAATGGCGAACATTTTAGTAATAACTCCAAAAGCCGGTTTAACAGGAAAAATTTGCGATGGCACCACATCACATATTAATAGCCACGATTAGTTTATATAATAAACAATTTGATCGTTATTTTGGCTTAAAAAATGCTTAATTTTGTGTACTTTCGGCTAGATGATAAATACTTCCGGTCAAAATGGCGGCCGGTTTAATTTTCACTCCAAAAACCAGTTTAACAGGAAAAATTTGCGATGGCGCCATATCACATTTTAATAGTCATAATTAGTTCTGTCATTCCTGAAAATTTGGTGCTTTTAACAAAAAGTGAACAATCCGGACCCAAATCTGCACATATCCGCCCCACTATTAAGTAAACCCTTTCACTCACAAGGATATAGAAGTTATGAATTAAAGCTTCAAATTAACTATCACATGGCTGATATAAAATGCTGCAAACCTTTGCAGTAACATCACATAAGAGTGATTGCTGCTTGATGGGTGGCATAGTAATTAAGAACATGGTCTTAAACATCATCGTGAGAAAGAAAGTAGTACATTGATGTTTAGACACTGGGAGTGAAAGGGTTAAATTAAGCTGTCCTTTGAAATTTTAGAACGTCGTTAGTGTTATGATGTGCTCCATTTTCTTACATTTAAGCATAGGTTGAGCAAAACATTGAAATAAGAATAAAATACACATACCCTTTTCAGTACTCTTTTGAAACATTAGCATCTTATTGCTGAGTGTCCGGCTCTGGAATTATTTAGATATTCCTTTTAAGCCTAGGGCTATGAAGTGGGTGGGTGGGATGGGTAAGGTCTTTGAATGAATATTTTAACTTTTTGATGGATTGATCTATAGGCACCAAATTGATCTGGAAATATTCGTTTGTGCCATTATCATGTTTATGTGACATTTGCATTTCCATAGCAACCACATAAATCAAACTTGCATGTGTGTCGTTTTCTTTTATTTTCTTCCTGTACATTGAAGGTACTTTTTTAAAGTATAATTCCTTCTTTCCAACAGTCTATATTTTACATTCCATTACACTGAATATGATCCAGGAAGGAGAAAATACATCATCAAAATCAGTACAGCTAGACTACAATTCATTGAAAGTATTGTTCTAGGGAAGGGGGTTCAATACCAAAATAATCACTGGTGTTATTACCATAAAGACATGTAATGGCGTTACGGAGAAGTGCGCAGACAACATACATTTTACCGACGCTGCTAAGGCCTGTCTTCAAATTCCTTTTATAGTCAAGAAATTTAAAAGAATTAATGACGTCACCGAATACCCATTCTACAGAAATCCGTAAAGCGCTCATAGCCTCGTTGTAATCCTGCATGAGGGGTGTAAGTGGGACACGACGGAACGGTGTTTGGAGATGAACTCGGAGAGGGTAGGCCAAATCTCCATAAATGCACATAGCTTGAGCTGCTGGATTATAGGCATACTGTTGAAGGTCCCGCAGTAGTCCAGAATCATTTAACATCCCTGCGTCGTGTTTACGCCCCTCTAGAATCGAAATTAAAATCAAACATGAGAAGGGAATTTTTTTCGGGGGGGGGGTTATTTAGGTTTAAAACACTAACGTTTTATTACAAACTCACCAACTGGTCCAAATAGGTTGCCAATAAGTCCATTTGGTAGGGAAAAGGATTGGAATTTTAATGGACCCTCTTGTGGCCATTGTACACAATTCTCTGACGCTCATTTGGTCTTGAGATGGGTCGGACTGTTCCATCTACAAAACCGAAACAGTTGTCAAGGGGGCCTCCTTTTCCCGATATAGCTTCTGCATAACGCTGCAAAGCCCCAGGATTCAGAAGATCTCGATTCCATTGTGTTATACGGTGCCCATGAACGTCATAAATATAGTCGATGACATCATTTGAGATCAGGCTTAAAACAGAAACCGGTCGGCCAAATCGCGGAATCAGATCACTGAGTCTGCATGGGTAGGCAACTCGTTTGAGCAGTATGCATAGGCCTTCCATGTCGTCGCAAATACTCCTCTGCTCGCATTTAAACACCGGTGGTAGTTGGAGGGCTGCAACAAGGCGAGGGAGATCGTGTTTCTCGACACGAAACTCTGCTTTGCACTCCGCAGAGTTCATAGAATCCAAATCAAACCGTTGATAGTTTTCATGGGGAAAATCTGGATTCTTTGAGATGAAACTATCGTAAAGTAGCAAAAACTCTTCATCGGAAATAATTTCATCGCCGTAGAGAAGTACAAGGAGGTCACGAAACTCTTTGAAAGACATTTTCCCTGGTGACTTTCACTGTAGGAAGAGACTCGTCCACGTACCGTAACCGGTTTGCTAAATGTTTTTGTTTCCCGCCGAGACAGAGCTGAACAACGTCTGCGCATGTGCATAGACGGGAGAGGTCTGGGATCTAACCTAGTATCGTTTTCAAAGGGTTTTTCAAAACATCCTCACTTTTTGGCGATTATTAAGGTGGATTCTGAATATTTAAGGTTCTCATTTAAACTAAAGGTAGATTATTTCATACTTTATTGAATTCTCGTTTCTACCCTTGTAATTTTTCTTCTACTTTTTTCTATGAACAAAAGAAGACGCACGAACGAAGCGTCCCTTCAATAATAGTATCGTTTGCAAAGGGATTTTCAAAACATCCTCACATTTTCCCGATTTTTAAGGTGGTTTCTGAATATTCAAGGCTCCCATTTAAACTAAAGGTAGATTATTTCATACTTTATTTAATTCTCGTTTCTACCTTTGTAATTTTTCTTCTACTTTTTTCTATGAACAAAAGAGGACGCACGAACGAAGAGTCCCTTCAATAAAAGTATCGTTTATAAATAGTATCGTTTGATTCTTAAGGTGGTTTCTGAAAAAGGCTCCCATTTTAAAAAACATCCTCGCTTTGTAATTTTTTTCCTTTTTTTTGAACAAAAAGGTGGTTTCGTTTGCAAAAGGATTTTCAAAAATATTCAGGGGTTTCCGAATATTCAGGGCTCCCATTTAAACTAAAGGTAGATCATTTCATACTTTATTGAATTCTCGTTTCCACCTTCGCAATTTTTCTTCCGTTTTTTGCTATGAACAAAAGAAGATGCACGGACGAAGCCGAAAACAGTTCTTTCATTCGAATGTGTACATTTTCAAGCGTAAACACATGAAAGTACAGACTATCAGTATGTTATCAGTTCTAAGAAATCGTCCGGACATCATATCAGTGTCAGTATTAAAGGTACATTTTATTTATCTTTGTTTTTCGTTGAATGATGGTCTTTTAATTATTTCTCTTGTTATATCTCGTTTGGTTTCACTGTAAGAACTGTAAGAACACAAAACAATCACTGAGGTTTCGAATTGAATCAAGTTCTTTCTTCCAAACTTGTTTCCCTTTAAGACTCATTGTTAGCTCAGCTCAAAAGAGCTATTATAAATTTTTGTATATGACAACAGGCAAAATTAATGTTGAAAAGAGTAAATGGGTAAGTAATACAGTCGATGCTTGCTGGTAAAAGTATTAATGACTTGAAGTTCTCTAAAAGGCTTCATTACGGGGAGAAGAACTTTCATTTATTTTTGTAGTTTCTCTTCAAAGTCTAGATCTTCATTCCTTGATTCGTCTGCTTCATTCAATCCTGTCATAAATGGAAAACCTATAGTTAATACGAAAACTCACATAGAGCTGAGCAAAATTGTGATTGTTTCTCAAAACTTCAACAGCTTTAAACTTTAAAAGTTTATTCATTCTAAGCTTAAAGGTGCAAATTAAATTTTAAACAAACTTAACTGAATAAATACTGATTCTACAGCTCGAACAGCGCCTCTAAGCCGGCTAGAGGTACGAAAAAGCTTCTTTCAATGCACTAAGATTTGTAACTAAGTTTATGACTTTCATGACTTCTTGTGTCTGATGGTATCATCGCACTCAAAGCCGGCTTTCTTGCCACCAAGAAACGGTCAACAACTGCTATCGCTCGGCCGACATTTCAAAGATTTGCACCTCCTTAACCAGAATAAAGTAATGTTTAAGTAAATCGTTTACGTACCATCGAAGAAAAGTCGCCCAAACTCCAGCACATTGCTCTTTTTTAATTTCTCAGTCATCTTTCTGCAAACTTACTGACGATCTGCATCAAAACAATGAAAAACCTTCGCCGGGACGGTCAAAAACATTTTCCTTGATCCCTGGATTACGTAACATTTCTTTCCATGAGTTGCATTTCTAACGTATTCGTAGAATTTCTCCTTCGTTGGCATTCGCAAATATGAGTTTGGATGGTCGAAGATAAAATGGTCTTGCAAGAATTTCACTTTGCCCGAATGCTTCGCGCACGGGCTAGACAAGTAAACAAGTGATGTCACGGACATGCGTAGTACGTTATTCAGCCCTGTCTCCCGCCGAAATACCGCCGTGGACGACGTTCTCGTTCCAGGCCCCAATCGGTCATACCAGTCCTCGTCCTCGTTCTCGTCTTCATTGCTAAAGGTCGCTAACGACTCGAAGCAATCGGATGAAATTCAGGCTTCGTTGGAAAATCATTCTTCATCATTTGATAAAGTTGCACGCATTCACGGGAAACGTTGCAAATGTGTTACCAATTTTTGAGAAACGTTGCAATGCATTTTAAAACATTCAACTGCGTTGAACGAAGCATAATAAACGTATGGGGCTGTAAGAATATCCACATAAGGATATGACATGCGGTTCTCAAGCGCCTATTTTTTTTCCTAGTATGCGGAACTCGTTCTCAAGGTGTTTTGTTTTCAATTTAGCGTTGCATGGTTTATTCCTTACAACCGTACCAGCGTAAACGACGTAAAGTGCTGTACGTTGCACTGGTCAGCATCTCGTGCAACGTTATGAGTTAATTTGCGAGTTCAGTGGCAAGAAAAAATGACCATTGTAAAGGAGCAAACTGTCACGCCAGCTGTTATCTTCTTTGCTGACAACAAAAAATATCATTATGAGCAAGTGACTTGGCGGGGTTTTTGCCATCATAGAACAAACATTTCCTAATTAGGAGTGAAAGGCAAGTTTTTAACTATTCAGTACTCCATTACAGAAAAGAAAATATTTGCTATCTAACAGCAGGAACATATACAATCCAGGACATTAAAATATATTTTTAAAAAAGCGAACATTCCATGCACAGCACCAACGATTTAGATTTACGTCAATGCTAACGCTGCGTGAACAGTTTCTTCGAAAGGCATTTCACTCTATTATAACTCTTTGTACGAGGTATTTTTTATCCGCTGGTTACAATTCTGGAAAATAGATGGTTTTATATCTTTTTCATAACTGTAATGAGGAAATTAGTTCGGCTGCTTCTAAATAGCACTCCAAGTACATACAGCTTCAGAATTCACCTTCAACGCATCACGATTCACTTGAAAACAAATGTCAGAGAAAGAAATTTCTGAATTACAAAGCAAGAACTAAAGGATTAACAAAAAACTGAATGCACACAATAACCTGTATTAAACAAGCAAAATACACAAGAAAATCTTCTTACAAGATCTTTAGGGTAACTGACGACGTAACAAACTTTTTATACCGATTTGAACAAAAAGAATAGGCCCAATGAAAAATATTACGTAACGCGACGTTGCAGGAAAAATATTCATATTAAGGGCAACTTACTAAATGACTAAACCGAAAGTAATAGCACAAATGAATTGCACAACAACAAACCACGAACAAAGTAGTAACTCTCGTGGCTAAATATACATGTTTTTCAACTGCCAATGATACTACAGAGACTCATCAGTACTCAGCTCATGGAATTTGGGGCACAAAATTTCTGCTCTGGTTTTTTTCGTACTAAAAACGTATGTAATCTTCATTTTAGAATTTTAATCAAATTTTAAAAGTCATTTGCAAACAGTCTCACTACTCTAGATTTATCACCTTCTCGCACGTGATCGCACGCGATCGTGCGATGATCCACGCTCGTGATCTACGATCACGTGCATGGAAAATGGTTCCTTATCAGTTCATCTCAGTGGATGTTTAAAATAACTTACTCCGATATGCTTGACATTTTCGTTTTTGTTCAATTCTTACAATTCTAAATTCGATGCAATACGCGAACGCATTATGACAATGTTGTTCAAATTCTAAATTTTTCGAAGGAGATTACGGTTTTCGATGCCATCTTGACGAGTGGGCAAACGCTAAGAAATTACAGTGTTCGTATGAAAACCTAATGTCGAATAATTTCCGTATAACGGATATTCCGAAAAAAAAAAATTAATTGCAAACTAAAGCTTCCCTCCAAAGGATTCTATTGAAAAAAGTGAGGGCGTTACATGGTCTTGCATGCGCTAGAAGACCTAGAACACTATCTATACATTTAGCTGTAAGAAATGCTCGGGAAAAATTACAGAAAAATATATATGGAAAATCTAAAACAAGCCTCTGGAGAAATTTAAGCACAGGTACGCCCCCCAAAATGTTTAAGTACAATCCTTTGCTTTGTAGCTTTTGTTTACAATTGATATTTTTTTCAGAAAAGCCGTTTTATGGAAATTATTCGACATTAGATTCTCATACAAACACTGTAATTTCTCTCACGTTTGCCCACTCGTCAAGATGGCGTCGAAAACTGTGACAAGGTCTATTATCCAGATGATTATAATTCTATAGAATAGGACTACATGAAATCAGGTCATGATACATGTATGGGATACCCTAATCGATATTCCTCTTGTATTCCAAATTGGTGGAAGATATGTTGCAAGAATTCAGGTGATCCAGGGCGCACAATTGCAGTGGAAAAGAATGGAACGAAGACGTTCTTTCCCTTGCCTCGCGACCGGTTTCTTCCATATAAAAATGGCGGACGTCGCCGGTGGCAAAATAAACAAGAAGGAAGCGAAAACTGTAATGCAAACACTTCGCTCGTACACGTTAAGTATGTTTATATTCTCCAAAATGCCTTGCAAATACCCTCAATACAATGTTTCCTCCGTTGAATTTTCACAAGGAGGTTTTAAAACAATAATACAAGCTTCCTCGGCCATACTTAAGACTTAAATTATAAGGAAGTGTATAATTGTATTGAAGGAGTGGCAAAACTAACAAAAAGACTACAGAACCCCTTATAGTCCCAACGCGACAGTTAATTTTGTAGAGTGTTGTGTGTTCCTGGAATCGGTCGTTTCGGTGCGATTCAAGCGAGTGTTAGTTGCGCCGTTTTTACCGTAAGATAAGTGAATATTAAATTTAACTCAAATAAAATCACATTGAGGTAGTCATTTACCTTTTCTGGTCTGTCCTG